ATGAGTCTCTGTTTGCCAATTGGGATAACATAATCACCGCTGTCAGTGGGGTCGTGCACGAAGACCAACCTAATAAAATCAGCTTTGGAAGTATGGCTGGGCTAAGTTTCTCACAATTCATTCGAGCCGTCGAAGGAGACAAATTGCGTGATGTCTATGGTAAAGGAGAAATATCCTCCACGATTGAAGCCAGCCTGCTTCCCATTGATAAAGACGGTTGCCTCATAGTCTACAGCACCAAAATTCAAGAGCACGTTCTGGTGTTTCCATTGCTTGGGTATCGTGAAGGTTGTGGACAGCCAGGAATAAAGAGTGTGGTTTCCCTGGATTCCTGCATGGTGGTCAATTTCTCTGCTTGTCCAGTCCAAGGAATGACATTACCTGATAAAGCACTCTCCAAACAGGACGGTATTAGGACCTCATTGGCTAGGGCTTGCCCAAAAGGGGGAGCTTTCACAGCTTCCAGCCCAGGTGCATTCTGATACTGCCAGATCCCGTTCAGGTTCTGCCATTCAGATCGCTCCAACTGGGGTCGAGGATACTCTGGCCATGGATTGGTACCGACTTTGCTGGTCCAGTCTGTGTCAAGAGGTGGGACCTTGGGTGCATACTTTGCAGTCTGCCGAGCATGATTATGATGACGAGGCTCTCCAGAGTCATTCGCCAGCACCCTACCGGCGAGCAGCAAGAGAAGAAGTTTGTTTAACAAGAACATATCTGTCGATCACAGATTACCTCCAATCAATGAGAAATTTTCCGCGATTGACACGGCATGAGTCCTTGCAATTCCTGCATGGATTGACATGATTATATATACAATTTTCACTGGCCTGACCGCCAGTCTTCATGTCCCTCACTCCATGCAGCGAGAAATGACGGCAAACATCTTTTCTCGAGTCAATATCGCATGACCACATCTCCGCACAATCCAAGTCTTTAGCATTGTAACCCTTGCATGCCAACATACAACAAGCGGTACGATAACCCCGCAACAGTGGGACTCTCGGGGAAATCGAGAGCCGAAAATGGACAGTTAGCAGCTCATTACAAGTTGGACGCAAGATATCAGACAAAGAAGAAAGATTTGGTGACTCGATCTACAGGTTTTGGGCCGTTTTCGCATGCTTGGCGACATTAGTGTTGCGGGGGGAATGAGGATCAACCTCTCGGAGGGCAGATTAGGGCTCTCCATGGACCCTAGGACTGGGTCTACCATGACTTGTCAACCAAGCGGAATGCACAGCCGGATGCCAACGCAGAACATCAGTCAATAGGGATTTTCATTGCTTGATCCCCTCTCTTTCTGGCTTCGCTGTGATGCGTTGTTGATTGACCACGGTGATTATCTAAGCCAAGCCCTAACTGCATACAGAAAATGGGGTGTTTCTATGCAAGATAGTCGGGTTGCTGATCTTCGCGCATCGAACAAATGATGCCGTCATTGGCCAAACAGGTCAGGAAAGTTACAATAGCACTACCCTAGGGCAAGCAAGATCTGCCAGTTGTTTACCCCGCTAACCACGCCGAGCTTCATCCTGAGTCAGTCTCTAGTCATGATGCGGGAAAATGTTTGACAGAGCAGAGACGCTCAGTCATGGCCGACTGTTATAACGCCCAGCCGAAGAATCTAGTTTGCCACGTCAGTCAACAGCAGGGATAAAGAGAACAGAGCTGCTTCGCATGGACAGCCCGACTCGAAAATTACCCGTCACCTCTCAGTCAGTTCACCGTGAGAGGCACAAGGTTGTAGGGGGTTTGCCCCGATAACTCCACGAGTGAGAGCCTGGTCATGTGGGGAATTAGACTACAACCCCTGAATCGGGGAAAGAAATGGATAGGTCTTCGATATGCTTCATGGACTTGGTGACCTGTGTCGCATGACATTCTACGTTCACTAGTGTCCTCAGGGATAACCCGGAAGATACACTGCTCCTCCACCCCCCTAAGTCGTTAACCTGATAACGGCAGCTTGTGACTCCATGAGGTTCACATTTACGGCACGGTCTGTGTACTAAAGCATCTATTCTGTATTCCTACATAGTCAACATCGAGGTTAACCTTTCAGCTAAGAGCCCACAAATGGGACTCGGTGGGTCTTAGGATTATGGTACTCCACAGTGGCAGGAGGAATCGGAATGAATTCCCCGGATAAAGATCAATTCAAGAGGCAACATCAAGTGTGACCTGAGCAGTATTAGTTGAATGTATGAGGCGATGCCTGGTGATGTTATCCAGTTCGGAATTCCGCTAGTTTAGAGCCTCGCCCCGAAAGTATGTGCCAAAATTTCAACTAATCTTGGTGACTAACCTGGATTACCCGGCTACCCGCAGACGATTAGCAAAGGCTACTGCAGATCCATAGGACGTGATCATTATCGATCACTTCGCCGTCTCCACAAGCGAAAGGCATATCTGGAACGGAGAACCCAATGTTTGCTGGACGCCAGGTACCACCGCCTGGCAACAAGATTGTGGTTCCTTTCCTCTCTCAAGGTCACTGACACAGTGAAACAAACGTTGCATTGGAACAGGTGCAAGGCGAGAAAGGAGAAGAAGTCATGCTTTTCAGTACAAGGCCAAGAGCGGACGGGTGGTTGACGCCCACTTCGAGGCATAGCCAAACTGCTCATCCGCCTTTGAGGGCATTCTCTCAGTTTGAGAAAAATCACCCCCGCCTTGAGCGAGGACTCTTTGGGGTCATTTGCTGGCTTGTGTTTGCGCAGCTCAGTGACGAGCTCGAGGTAGTGCTTCAGGGGCTGGAGCTTTCCTTGGTCATGTTCCGAGGTTGAGACGAAGGAACTTGCTATCTGAGTAACATGAGCACTCTCGACTGAATGCAGTTGAGATCTTTCTCTTTATACGGCTGTGTGAAGTCTCCGTAACGTCTTCACGGGCCGTTCAGTCGAGCCCGGGGTCTCAAAACTTATATACCATTGTCCACGATAGCCCGACAATGCTTTTCACCTCCTGTTCCTGCTCCATGGATGGGAGTTGCAGAATAGGATCAACAAAGTCCCTCTTCATATCAGGGGTGCAGTCATGAACAAACTGGTGATTGTCCATCCGTCTTTCGAGGTGTATATATCCCCCAAGACTTGCCCATTCTTTGAATCTCGGTACTTTCCGTTAAAGGTAACAATCAACTCCAGGCCCATTTTTTTCATTTTTATTTTTATTTATTATTTATTTTTATTTTCTATTTTTTATTTTATTTTATTTTATTTTATTTTTTTTTGGCACTGGAGGGACACGTCTTGCGAATCTTCAGATCTCATGCCATTGTCGAAGAGTTCGCAGTATGTAAAATCATTATCGCATCTAAGCGGCACCGCTTGGCTGGCTCATTATTAGGGGATCTCTCAAATGCCCAATCACATTTCTGAAGCGTCTCGGCTAGTATATTGTAGATACATAGGTTCTGTGGTACAATATCGATAACCTCGTCTTTGGATACTTTGAATCTGAGTACTCAACAAAGTCACCCATTGCAATTGTTTCATATCGTTTAGTTTGTCTCAGACCCGGAACCTCGGTATTCTCACTACTAAATGAATGGGTATCACCGCAGTCAGACGAGAGCATTAGATTTCTACCTCACTAACTCTCATCGCCTGGTAGAAAGCACAGCAAAGCAAGGACGAAAGGCCAAAGGGGAAGAATAGTCAGGTCGCAGGATGAGATGAGAGATGCATGTGGTTTAAAAAAGAAGAGAGAAGAATAGGTGGCCTGTGTGACATTATAATCTTCCTTTGTAAATGTGTATACTTGAAGCTTCCCTGCAAGGCAAGATATTCACTTCATCTGTCAGGCTTTAGACCTTGAATTACGCAAATGACAGCAATCAAAAAAAATCCTAGAGGAGTTTAGCTGTTAGAGAGTGGTTAGATGACATACACTACCCTAGTTATGATGTTAATCCTACGCAACACTTGCTCGAGAACCCTTGATCATCAAGGATAAGCTTGATTGAGATAGTTCACAAAGACTCTCCAACAAAGGTAATCTGGGATAAGCAATCTCATGTTTTGCAACGCTACTGATATTTTTGACTGCCTCGCTTCATAGACATCTGCCAGGTAACTCCATGCCGGCGTAGAGATGAAATGACTGATCAAGATAGAGTTAATCTATGTCAAGTATGGCTTTCTACTGCGATATCCAGTGCTTGACCATCAGGTTTGTCAGTCTCCCTGCATTGCTGGGAGAGGGATGCTTATCATGCTCGTTAGCATCCAACTTGTATCCCGTGGTTGGTTCGGCCTGTAGTGATAGTTCAAAACAAAATGAGGAAGATCCGGGGAGAATCACTCCATGCACTAGACTGATAATGCTTCCTCCTCTCGCAACGGGGAATCCCAATCATAGTCCATGTCTAGTGAGGGCCCTGGAGGGCGAGACTGGAGGACGAAGGTCGGCCCGAGAAAGGGTGTTAGGACCAAAAAGAGTGCCCGAACAAATTTTGTGCACAGCATGGACATAATAATAATAATAGGTGGTGGAAAGTCTGGCCGAGGCGGAAGAGACCAGGGGCTAAACCCAATTTGCCAGGTGGTTGTGCCCTGATCCCGATGCCGCCTCGTGCTCGCAGTTGTCCATTGGCTGTTCATGGCCCAGTCCCACTTGATCCAATTCAACAGAACCAACCAATGGTCGGCCCTTCGTGTCTAGAACTCCCAATAAGGGAAAAGTTGAGCATCTTGGCAAACGGGCGTTACTTGGCCGTTGCGGCACAGCTGAGAACATTCGACGTTGATCGACAGGCCTGAGGCGTCATCCTCACCACAGAGAAGTTGCCGGCCCTTCCCTTTTCGCACCTCTGCTGTCAATTTTCATCCGCATCCATCATGCGGTTGTCCTTACTCCATCTCAGCAATCATCGCCAGAGATGAGACCGCAGTCATTACGCCCTGCATCACTTCTTTAGGCGAGCGCCCTGGCGATGTTCTCGCTTTGGTTACCATCCGACACCGCCGTTATTTCAGAGCGCATGCTCTCTAAGCATGTTCTGGGGTCGCCAGGAGAAGCTGTCCGATGTCTGGCTTCAGCTTACGGGTAAGATAATGATCCCTGTATAAAATCAGTGTTTTGTTCAGCACACTTTGCTGACCACTACTACCTCCATTCAGCTCGCTGTCTCCGAAGTTTCGACCGATCCCACTCCCGTCATGCATCCCCTCGTCCAGCCCCCGGGTGGCGCCCGTTCGCCTTGCGCCCGACCTATCTCTCCATACTCGGTCTTCTCATGCTGACCATGGTGGTGGTACTTGAGGCACTGCGTCGATATACCGATCGCTATGGTGGCCTCGTCTTCTACCAGGATACTACGAACCTTTCCAGCGCCGCCACATTCGCCTACAACTACGTCCCCGTTATCGTTGCCCTGATACTCGTCACATTCTGGTCCTTCATCGATTTTGACGTTCTGCGGCTTGAGCCGTATTTCCAACTTTCTCGCCCAGAGGGTACTCCAGCCACGACATTATTCATCAATTACAACTTCGGTCAATCGTTTCTGACCCCACTAACGTCGGCCAAGAGGGGTCATTGGGTTGTGTTGCTCGTATCACTTCTCACAGTGTTGATGCGGATCTTCCTACCCGCTCTGCAAAGTGCGGTGTTTGAGTTGAGAGAAATAAGCGTTTTGAGCGATGAAACCATGCGAACCTGGCCGGTTCTTGTAGATCTCGCCAGCCAGGCTCAGTGGATTACTGCACAGGAAAAGAACAATTTGGATTTTTCGGCTCTCGCGTCGGGTGACAGTTCCTTTCCGAAGACTCGCTCTTCCAAGTACGCCGTGGCTCCCGTTGAGATTCCCACGGATGACTTCCGCGAGAGCACGGTGTGGACATTGAACCAAACGATATACTGGTCCGAACTTTCTTGCCAGGATGTCATGGTGAATAACAACTTAGAAGTTACCGCTAACGGGACGACGGACGGGCTGCCAATCATCTCATGGAACGTCACGGGGGTCCCGCTTCAGCAGCCCGGCCAGGGTCAACAGTGTACACTGGATTTTCAATACAGCAACATATTCTTCCCTTCCAGTGATTATGTCCAGATTCGCTACTGGGAGCCAGTCTGGACGGATAACGCCTTCCAGTCATTCACCACCAACGGTTGCAAACCGTTTGATCTCTACGGCATCCTCATTACCGTCAACGCTACGCGCGCCGCGGACCACGACACAGATGACATGTCCCTATCTGGAGTCACATTCGCATCCTCAGCAACGCTTTTTGCCTGCAGTATCGGCTATCGCAAGGCCGACGCAAAGCTCAGGCTTCATGCTAACAGTTCCATCACCTCGGTGGACATACACCCCGGCACTACCACCAACTTAACCGACGATCAGTTCAACATTGACGAGTTTCAGGGCTTCTTGGCCCATAGAGCCCCTTATACCAGCGACATGCTGTTCTTTCGGATCAACCAAACTAGCGGCCAACGGGAAGTGACGGAGCTGCCCGTTATTAGTCAAGAAATAGGTGATTTGGAGCCCGTCATAGTCCTGGAGTCATCAGATGTCATGACGAAACAAGAGTTCGAGCACAAGGTTACGCGGGGTGTTAGACAGACGTTTTTGCTTACCATGGGCCGACTCTTTAATCTGGACGAAGCGCCGGCCGTTGTACCGGCGACACGGCTCACCCGGCAAGTCACACTCGCAGTCGTCGATTTCGCAGCTTTATGTTCCGAGGTCATTCTTGGCCTGGGCGTCATCATCACTTTAGGGCTGTTACACGTGTACAAAACCCGGGAAAACGTCCTTCAAAGCGACCCGTGCTCCGTTGCGGCCATGTGTAGCATCGTTACTGACCTGTTCGAACCGTCCAACATCCTGGCCGATCCTCGCTTTGAGTTTCATCAGTATTCCACGCGACAACTCCGGCGACTTCTTCGGAATTGTTGGTTGCGCTGGGAACCTGGCCCGGGCCCGAATGGGAGACGCCTCGCCATCGTCACCTCGGACGGCTCTCCGATCCAGTTGGACGAGCAGATGCGCAAGCGCTGTGATCCTATGCCGCACTTTCTCGTGATTCCCTTTTTCATTATTGAATTCCTCTTACTCGCCGCGGTGATCACAGCTATGAGTTTGGTCGTTGCTTCACTGACCCGGGATGGAAAGTTCCGACATCTTACACAATCCGATTCGAGCTTCTTTCAAGTGGTTCTATCAGTTTTACCATCCATGGTTGCTTCGGCCGTTGGTTCTCTCTGCACATCCATCCACCGCAATGTCAGTATCCTTGAACCTTGGGTACACCTTCAGCGTGGCAAGGCTACGGCGAAGGCCTCATTGTCGATGAACTACTCGTCGCAGACGCCGTTGGCGGTGTTGGTGAAAGCCATGCGAGACCGGCACGTTTTGTTGTTCTTGATATCGGTGGCATGTGTTGCCAACACGGCTCTGACCGTGGTTGCTGGTGGCATATTCACACAAGAATTGACCAGCTCCTCTCTTCCTACCTCGTCACTTTTTACCAACTACAGCAATTCTGTTTTTCAGCAAAGTGATTTTGCGGCTGACTTTACTGAATACGACATCATTCAGACAAGTATCACCACAGGAGTGTCGATACTCCCCTGGACGAGTGCCAACCACTCTTTTCTACCCATCATGATCAAGAATCCGGATTCTGATGCACTGTACGGGGCCAACACGCTGGGAATCGGAGCGGACCTGGCATGTCAAGAGTTGTCGATCGCCGATAATCTGGTGGTGAATCCGCAGAATGGATCTGCTTATTGGGAATATCAGACGTTTGATGATCCCGGTAGGCAGTGTAAAGTCGACATGACCCTGTTGCAGCATCCGCAGGAGGACGTTACACTTTCCATTCACTTTCTGTCTCCTGTGGTTACCGAAGATGAGGCGTACGATTGCCAGACATCCACTGTGGTGGTGCTGGGCCGGTGGAATTACACGGCCGGCTCGCCCGTAACCGACCGAAACACTATTGCTCTGCATTGCGAACCCAGAGTCCATTTGCAAAACTACTCGATCACCTTCGATAGGAAAGGCCAGATCCAATGTCTGGACCCCGTTCCCGGTACAGACGTCACGTCTGGGCCCATGTACGACAATGCCACCGTCAGCTTGGGACAGTTCAACAAAGTCTTTGCCGCCATCCCGCAGAGCTATATCAGCAATTCGACTTATGATCGTAAGTCATACATTACGTCGTACGACTGGGCTGGTTTCCTAGTTGCACGTTTGTACAGGCGTCGAGATCCGGGTTTTACGTCCCTTAATCCTCATGACCTGATGGACATGTCCAAAGTCGTCTACCAGTGGGTTTATAGCACTTACTTTACTATCTGGAGGGGGATTTACCTGCAGCCGCTGGAAAAACCGCACGCCGCTCCAAACTCGACGGTGATCTACAATACATGGACCATGGAACCGTCCATTCCCTCGCTAGCCATAGCATTGATGGTCATCGCCCTCGATACCTTGATCGTTCTCATTGTCTTTGGCGCACGTCGAGGCCGCTTCAAGGGACCGCGCGTGCCACGGTCCATTGGCGCAGTGATGCCCTGGATTGCGCACAGCCGCATGCTCGACGATTTCCGTGGCACCTATTTTTGGACCAGCATCCAGAGACGAATCCACCTCGACCGACTGAACAAGCGGTATGGGTTCCGGATGTTCCTAAATGCGGATGGTCATTGGCGCTATGCGGTGGACGAGGAACCGCCAGAGGACAAAGCGGCAGGTGGATTCGAGGATGGGTTCAAGATGTCCGGGGCTATCCAGCTGCGTGATTTAGGTACGGACACTACTCATTCAATCTCTGGAGGGCCTGAGGCGACAAGCCCTGAGGCAACAAGCCCTGAGACAACAAATCCGACGACCCTGGAGGTCGATCGGCAGGTATAACGATTATCACACGATCTGTTCATGTATCATAAATTAGGAAGTATATAGCCTGGTGTACTGTGGAGTCGGGGATATTAAACGGACGGAATATGTATATACACGATACCAATTTTAATCATCTGCATTGCCATAGCCAACAACGTGTACAGGGGCTGTATTGTAGAGCAGGCTAGCAGCTCATACAGAGCGGACGGATCACCGGAAACGAGCGAGATCGGCCTATGCCAACCCCGCAATCGGCATCAATTCAACGACGAATATACAACCAATACACCGCACAAAGATATCATGATCAACATGGAGACAGAGACACAAAAGATTAACGTGCTTCTCTACGGTCTCGGAGCGTAAGTCTACCCGAATATACTGTCCATCGGAGAGTAGATTGACAAACCCCAGCATCGGCTCCTTCTACGCCTTCATCCTGCACCGCAGCAACCGCGTCCGCCTAACAGTCGTCGCTCGATCGAACTACAAAGCTGTCCTCGAGAATGTAAGCATGATAGCACATTTGAAAATTAAACCACTAATGATAATAGGGCATCTACATCGACAGCGCCAACCACGGCCAGCACCGCTTCCATCCTGATCTGGGTACGCTGCTTGAATCGTTTATCACCGGATGTTAATCTAACCTCAGCCCTGTAGTGATCAAATCACCTGCTGAAGTAACGCATCCATATCGCTACATCATCTGCGCGAACAAGGCCATCGATCAAGATGCCGTAGCGGCGCAATTGGCGCCTGCCGTGGACGAGCACACCACGTTCGTGATCATCCAGAACGGAGTGGGGAATGAGGAGCCCTTCTGGAGGGCGTTTCCGGCTTGCGCGATACTTACTTGTGTGGTGCGCACCCTCTGATTGGTAGTTGCTGGTGCTGTTGCTGACAAGGTTCTAGACTTGGGTAGGCGCAACGCAGACCTCACCGGGTGTCATCACGCACATCAAATCCGAGGATCTGCAGATTGGACTGTTCCCGAATTCGTCTCTGGATGGTTCGGTTGAGAACTCCCGTCTGGACGAGTTTACGTCCTTCCTGACGGCTGGGGGAACGAAATTCCAGGTTGTGGAGAATATGCAGCTCCCCCGCTGGGAGAAGGTCGTTTGGAACGCGGCGTGGAATTCTATCACGGCGCTGACGATGGTGGATACGCGGACTTGGCTGTCTTCGTCTGCGGATGCGACGCCGTTGACCAGACGCCTGATGGGGGAGGTGATTGCTGTTGGGAGGGGGTGTGGGGTCGATCTTGATGAGGGGCTGGTGGACCGGTTGATGGACAAGATCAATGCGTTGCCGGGGATTGGGAGTAGTATGCAGACGGACTGTCGGAATGGGAGGCCGATGGAGATTGAGGTTATTCTGGGGGTTCCGTTGCGCAGGGCGAAGGAGTTGGGGATTAACACGCCGGTTTTGGAGACGTTGACGTGTTTGTTACGCGCGGTTGATGAGCGGTTTCATTGATTCTTCTGCAGCGGAGATAGGGGACCCTGGATAGAAGTGAAATTTGCTAACACTACTAAAAATCATCGACCGGCTTCTGTGCCCAGACAATATGATACCGCATCTCCGTCCTGTACGTCCTCATGTCCTCCAGCGCGAGACGACCCAAGTTCTCCCATTCTTCTTGCGAGAGACCGATTTCCTCGCGACTAGGCTGCTGTCAGTCACTTCTTCGCACACACAAGAGACAGGACCGACCTTGTTTCATTCTGCCACATGTCAAAGATAGATAGAATATTCCTCGCCCCCTTCTCCCCCAACTCTTTGTCGGGGTTCGAGCACCCGATATTAAAATCCACCGTCTCATGATGGATATTGACTAATCCAGCCTTGCGCAGAGAATCGCACAGCCGCGCCCCTACCTCGATATTCTGCAGCTTCCTCTCCGCCAGATCATAGAACGTCCCGAAGTATTTCGCCCGCGGGTCATGCAGGCGTTTGCCGCTTCCTTCAAACAGCTGGATCCACCCGCCGGGCTTTACGCAAGAGATGAGACCTTGCAGAATGCGAGCGACTTCCTCGTCGGAGAACAGGACGAGGAGGAGCCGCTGGTGGACGAGGTCGAAGGCGTTAGTCCATTCCGCTGGGAGGGGGTCTAGCACGCTGCGCAGGACGGTTCTGATTTGTGGGGGGAAGGGGTTGTTGGGGTTTTGTACGACGGGTCTAACTGAGATTAGCAACGATGGACTGTGGGGTGGCAGTGAAAGTGCGCTTACAGAATATCAAATCCGACAAATTCGGTCCCTGGGGGCATGATGGTTTGCATGCGTCTCATCCAGTGGCCTGCGATGAATTAGCGAGGACGCGAGGCCCTCCCACGGACGAGTGAGCCTTACCATCAGCTGTCGCTGAATCAAGAATCCGCTGGCCTGGACGGGTCAGGTCAATTGGGGCTTTGACGAGGCCGTTGCAGAATGCTTCGATGAGCTCATGCTGGAGTTGCAGCCGGTTGACTTCGTCTTTTGTTTCCTCGGGATCTTGACTGCTGTAGAGCTTGGTCATTTCGCTGTGGTTTCTCCTTGCTAATGTTGTTCGAGGTGTTTAGCGTGCGAAGCTTTGCTATACCGGATTGCAATGTGAAGGAAGGCAGTTGTTATACTGAAGTGAGACACTTGCACACCGCTGTTTGTCTCAACTGACAGGATTCCTTGCATATGCTAACACTCACGATGGCATAGAAATCATCAGAGCACAGTAATAGTAACACACATGTAAGGCGGAGATCTAGAGCCAGACCTCCCAGCCTCGTAGACACACGCCAGCTGCCCACACCGCGCGCTTTAACCTGGTTATCCTCGCCTTGAGTCTCGAACGCAGCATCGACTGCTTATACATCCCCTGCTTACGCAGGACGAGTATACAACACCGCTATTTCAACGTACCAGTGCCGGATCAGCTGGCTGTGCACAACATATACTGCGGACTGCGGTTGCCCTTACAACACGTGTCATTAAAGCAAGGACATAGAGGTGCATGAAATGTGCAACGCGCCATTGCATTGGTCCCTTGCGTTACGGCCCGACGGAGGTAAAAGTCTGGATGGAGCATGTAGCTGGTCGTAGGGCTCATAGCCTCATCCACGTACGTGGTGAATGATGACCTACGTTGCACTAGTAGTTGCTAAGGAAGAAACTATACCAAGACAGACGACATACTCAGGCATGACATCATCAGCTAGAATTATCATAAAGCTATATTTCCTACGTCAGTCAAACCGGCTGGAATTTGTCACCAGCGCTCCGCAACAATTTTAACCCTCACAGGCTTCCTAGTCGCTGCGATGATATGTTCCGTCCAATCGGTCGTCGCCTCACTGGTTTCAAACAGATCCAACTCGAACTGCGAAAAGAGGATAGAAAGGAAAATGTACATCTCATAGTATGCCAACTTGCTCGCGATACACATCTGCCCGCCTCTGCTAAACGGGGCAAAATAGGGTTCCATGGCTTTTCCTCGCTCTCCGAGCCATCGCTCGGGCTTGAACTGGAATGGGTCTGGGTAGATCTTGGGATTGTGGTGCATTGCATGCAGGCTTGTTGAGATGTATGTCTGTAGAAGAGAATTATGAGCCAGGCACGTCCACAAGAAGGGTTGACATGAACATACCCCGCCGGGAATAAAGTGAGAGCCAATACGGACGCCCTCGGGGGGAACGACTCGGGGCAGATTGCCCGGGAAGGGGGTATACAGGCGCATGGTTTCTTTGATGACCGCGTTCTAACACACAGTCAGTAATGGACTGAGGAGCCAGCAATTAATGGACTAGGGGAGGGATTAATCTACCAGGTACGGAAGCTGAGAAACATGACTGATATTAAACTCGTCTCTGATGTGAGGCGCGGCCTCATCCAGCTCGGAACGCAACCGGGCGAATACATCCCGGTGGCTCAGGACGAGGTAAACGGCCATGGTCAAGGGATATGCTGTCGTCACGCCACCAACCATCATTGCGGAAGCTTCGTCAATGGTTACATCGGCCGGGGGGACGACGTAGTTGCTCTTCGGCTGGGGGGTCAGGAGATAGTCGAACAGCGGTGAAAAGCCAGCGTCCGCAATGACCGGCCCCGTCGTCTTCTGCTGCTTCATTCGGTGGACGTATGTTGCAACTGTCTGGAAGATATCAGCTCAATGCCTTGGCCGGAGAGAACAAACAGGTGCTGGTGACCTTCCGGAGCCCAATATACCCGGGTGATATCCGTGCGACAAGAGATCTCGGGGCGAAACGCAAGAGCGAGAAAAGAATAGCGAGGTGTTTCACTTTCAGGCAGTATAAGCATCTGCATCTGCATCCTACCCAGAGCCAGTGAGTCTACCTATATGCACTTGATTCACAAAGTGGTTGAGCGATCCGAGGACCGCACGTTGGCTGTCGCGGCACTGGGTGAGTCCCAGCGACTGGCCGAACAGAACCATAGAGACCACGTCGGCCTTACAGTGTTAGCAATGAGTCTCTTTCTTTGTTTCCGTTTACAAAGGTGGTAAGGGGGCCAAACCATGGCAGATTGTGTGACCAAGTTTATATTGATGGAGTCGCCGGCCCGCGCATCGGCAGCCATTGAGTCCATACACCGGCGGGCGACTTGGAGAGTATACGGCACATATAGTGCCACGGCCTTGGGAGAGAACGCATGGCCCGCGATGGAGCGCTTGACTTGGTGCAGTTGCGGATCTACCATAGTGCCCAGCGACTCCGGGTTGCCGATTGCCGCGTAGAAGAATCGTGCTTTGAGGTATGGAGACCCCAAGCGAAAGACCCTGAATGACATCAGCTATCAGACTCGGATCGAAATGAGGCTGTATCATACACTCGATGAAAATCAGGGTCGTTGACATGAACATGGTTGGGGCCGATCCGAACAACATCGGAACCTGGATGAGTCAGCGGTCCTCATAGAAGACAGTACAGTACAATGGCCAAATCACCATATCTCTCGTGCAGCTTCAGCACTTGTTTGACGTAGACTCCGCCTAGGATCACATCGTAGTAGAATTCATACCACGTTGTGAGGGAGGCCAGCCATGGCCCTGGCACCTTTCTCAGAGGATGGAAGACGAGTCGTGCAACTACGACAGCCAATGCCCAGGCGGACACTACGGTCAGGACTGTAGCTGGAGACCACTCGAGGTGGTGAAGGCTGTCGGAAACACCCTGTAGCCACCGTGGCGTGCGGTTGAGAATGTGGTGCATGGCGTCTGCGAGAAGTCTCTGGCTGTGCCCACTAGAACCAGACAAAGGCAGACTACTTGTATTCGTCATACTAAGCGGAAGAGTCACAAGAAGGACAGTAGACAGGGGGATCGGGGTTGCAAGATAGTGCGCTTTTAAAATATGCTTGCTGTCGCTCTTCCATGTCTACCAGGAAGCCAGGACAAGCTGTGAACTGCCCGTCACCATCCCTTGCGGTGAATCCAAATCGCGTCATAACTACCTGGAATGTTAATCTTGCCCCTTACCGAGCCCTTGTGAAAGAATGACCGACTGTAGTCTATCGGTGGAGTAGGTCCGGCGCATTGGTCTTACTCGTGTCCATCTACCACTTGTAGATGGCGAACGTGCTTGGTTTCACGGCCGCACTGCCTTGCCGTATACCTCGTGTATACATACAGATATATTGTAGCTGGCCATTACGACTGCTTTCTCCTCTGGAATATGCAAGGGATTACAGTCTCGAGCGAAAAGACTCCTACTCGAAAAGACCATCAGTGTGTGCATCCGACTAACCATGGAATCCTACATTGGCTTCATGCGAGCCTCTACACCGATGGTATGAGCTGCATCCAGTTCAGCCAGGTTAAGATCAGCCACGCTCTCATAATATCCCTATAATAAATAGCATTGCGGGGTCTGACCATTGCACCGGTAACTTCTGATATCACAGAATCAAGCCACAATCTTGATTCGTTCTTCCAATTCTTCAAGATTCAACTCAGATCACCCAGGACAGAAAACTCAACTTTTCCCGGGACGAGAGACTGTGACCGAAATCATGACGCATGGAGGACCGTCTGTCTCTGCTTGCCTTTTTCCCATCCGTAGCCATGGCCGAGGCGACAAGGACAAGTGTGCGCTCAACGCAAGACAGATTGACTCTCAGACGTTACGAGAGCTGACTGAGTACTGTGAACGAAACATTCTGAAGATTGATCACTTCCTGATGGCCGTCTGGGCGGTTATCCTACAACAGTTCACAGAGAATAAAACAATCCATATGGGGCTCCAACAGGTCACGCTGTTGAACTCGACTTCCTCGTCAGAAATTGGCGTGAAGAGCCGGATGAGGACAGTCTCAAGGTCATTCGGCCAAACTACCTCGTCGAGGGAGCTGTTTCAGGCGGACCTCTGGACGACAACTGCAGTGGAGGCTGCGTCTTTCAACACTGGGTTGGTCATTTGCTCGCCTTGTTCGATCTCGATGTCCAAAATCATTCCCAGTATAGGAATGGCGACTTCTCCATCAGACAGTGTAAGTCAGTTCCTTCCGAGAGCAGTGCAAATACTTACTAGACTCAGACGTGCGATGTGCTCCTTGCGTTGCACATGGGCTCTGGGAAGGAGCTACCGACACTATGGCTTTTGCACAGGACGAGCATCCTGTGCGATGATTCCGCACAGTATCTCGCAGACTCAATAACCCACATTATCAGATGCATGACCCAGAGAGACGCGCTCGATAGTAGTAGGCTATCTACCTTGAGTGCAACACAACGGGCCAAGATCCACGAATGGAACAGGAATAAGGCCGGCGGCCTGTCCTCGAAGCATTCGTTGTACCATGCCATTCACCAAATATCTCTACAAGACCCAGATAAACCCGCGATCTGTTCGTGGGATGGTGTCTTCACTTATTCGCAGTTGATGGATGTCTCCCGCCGGTGGGCATTCCAGTTACGAGAGCTGGGAGCTGGGCCCGGCGTGATGATTCCAGTGTGTTTCGAGAAATCGTTGTGGGCCATCGTCGCCATGCTAGCCATTAACCAAGCCGGGGCGGCGTTTGTGCCTCTCGACCCCTCTCATCCATCGGATCATCTGAGGGCCATCATCAGAACGTTGAACCCGAAGATCACGCTCGCGTCTTCCTTACAACACGAACTCTTAGGAGATAGCCTGCCCTGCAGCTGGCGGGTAAGCGAACCATCGACAGCAGACCTCCCAGACCACGGCACAGAGCCGTTTCATTCCGAACCGTCGGACTATGCTGGGCCGGCATATTGTCTCTTCACCTCCGGAAGCACCGGCACTCCCAAGGGCTGCGTGGTGCATCATGCCGCGCTCGCCAGCGTCGCGGATCAGACAGCATCCCTGCACCTGGCCCGCTCCAGCCGTGTGCTCCAATTTGCATCATTCAGCTTTGGCGTCTCGCTGATTGAGATATGGTGTAGTCTGTGTGTGGGCGCCACGGTATGCATCCCGTCGGATGCGGATCGTCTGAATCGGCTGCCCACCATGATTGCCACGATGCAGGCCAACTGGGCCATCTTGACGCCCACCATACTTGACCTGCTCCAGCCAGAGGCCGTTCCTAGTCTACAGACTATTGTGGTGGCCGGTGAGCCCCTGAAGGAGTCACAAAAGTCTCTCTGGGCCGGTAGGACTCGGCTGTTCCAGGGCTACGGGCTGACCGAATGGGCCGGTATCTTCAGTGTATCGCCCCAGATTCACACCAAGGACAAAGTGAGCAGCATCGGAATGCCACAGCACGGTTCGTGCTGGCTTGTCGACACGCATGACCCCGATCAACTCGTGGGGATCGGCGTGGTGGGAGAACTCGTCATCGAAGGCCCGAGTCTCGCGCAAGGCTATCTGCAGGATCCTCATAAGAGCGCTATAAGCTTCATGAGCGATCCCAGATGGGCCCCGAAGGAAGCCAGTACCAAACACCAGAGGCATAGGTTTTATAGGACTGGAGACCTTGCCTTCTTCCGTTGCGACGGGTCGCTTCAGTACGTCGGCCGGAAGGACCTACAGATCAAAATCCGCGGCCAGCGGATTACGTTGAGCGTGATCGAGCATCACCTGGCGCATGGGAGTCCGGCTCTCCGTGGGGCCGTGGTGGATGCCATAACCCTTGCGGATGAAGACCAGCTCCGTCTCGCTGCCTTTGTCCCGAGCGAGCAAAAGCCAGTCGAAGCTCCTGCACTTCAAGCCAAGGGGCAAAAAGAGACGATCTTCGCCCTGCCTGATCAGGCGTTCACGTCTAAGGCGGATGCTGTCAAGAGGAGACTCCAAAGCCAACTGCCCCGGTATATGGTTTCTGATATCTTCCTCTGTGTGAACCAGCTTCCCGTCACGGTCACAGGGAAGATAGCAAGAAGACAACTGCGTAATCAGGTGGGAATCCTGCGGACTGAGGAGTTAGCAGCCTTAACCGGGCTGGGCAACGCAGCCAACTATACTGAACCCAGCACACCGCACGAGCGTCTGATACATGGCCTGATTACGGAGCTGCTCAAACTGCCGCCGCACACCGTCGGCATGGGACACAATTTCTTCGCCCTCGGCGGTGATTCCGTCCAGGCGATGAAAGTGGTTAGTTCGGCCCGGCAGCGCGGGTTGGCACTCTCTGTCAAGGATATCTTTGATGCGCCAGACCTGCGAACGCTGGCCCAAAATGCTAAGGCCTCGTTGCAATCAACGTCTCGCAATCATGCAATCCCTCCATTTTCGTTGTTACGGGCAGAGGCCAGACAGACGATAGTCCAGGCAGCGTCGGATATATGCCATGTTCCTGTGCAGCAGATCGAGGATATCTATCCATGCACGCCGCTGCAGGAGGGCATGATGGCGCTAGGGGAAAGCAGGCCAGGGACCTATGTCGCGCGGTTCGTCTGTCAGATTGACAGACAGGTCGATATTAGCCGTCTTCGCTCCTCATGGGCCACTATCGTGGCCGCCAACCCGATCTTGCGCACGCGAATAATCCAGCTGGAGGGAAATTGCATGCACCAGGTAGTGCTGAAGGAAGACTTTAAGTGGGATGCGGATGACGAGTGGCACTCCTATCTTGACAACAACCGGTACACGTCCATGAAGCTAGGAGATCCGCTGGTCCGCGGCGCTGTGCTCCGGGGCCGAGAGAATCCTACGGCCATGTTCCTAGTCCTAACGATGCATCACTCGGTGTGTGATCGCTGGGCGGTAGGTCTTTTGCTCAAACAGCTCCACGCTGTGTATCAGGGAGAGACTCCCAGAGAGCATTCCTTTGCCACTTTTGTGAAGTACATCAGTAAGATCCAAGGGAGCAAGAGCCAAAGCTACTGGGAAAACCAATTCGCCGGCCTGGAAGCAGAGTCCTTCCCTCCTTTGCCTTCGCAAGACTACAGACCATGCCCATCGGAGTCGCTCCAGCTCCAAGTGACTGGAGACGCACCCACCGGCGCGACGATGTCTAGTTTCATCCGACTCGCCTGGGCCCTTGTTATCAGCCAGTACACTTCAACGAATGATACAGTGTTTGGTGTGACGGTTACTGGACGAAATGCACCAGTCGACGATATTGAAAATCTACCTGCCCCCACGATTAGTACTCTTCCCCTTCGAGTCCAGATCGATCTGAACCGCCCCGTCAAAGACGGGGTGGCTGTTATCCAGCAGCAGTCCAGCGAGATGATTCCATTCGAGCAGGCCGGCCTGCAAAACATCAGGAAATATAGCCGGGAGGCCCAAGACGCCTGCGGCTTCCAGACTCATCTTGTCGTTCAACCAGCGTGGCAGGATGACGATCGATCAGGACCATTCCTCCGTCTGATCGAAGACGGCGCCTCCGTGCAGCGGGGGTTTGCTTCGTATACCATCGTCCTTCTGTGCAGTCTCAGTAAAAGTGCGGATATCAATATCACCAGCGAGTTCGACCCAGATGTCATCCCGCCGAGCATCATGCAGCATATTCTCGGGCACTTTGGCCATGTGCTCCAGTATATCCTCGCTCATCCGAATAGCAAGCTTCGGAACGTTCCAGTTAGCGACTTCGACGCCGCGAGATTGAGGGAGTGGTGTAGGGTTGTGCCGCAGAGTCCGCCGGAATGCGTCCATGAAGTCATACGGCAGCGCATTATTGAGGCGCCGAACGCGTGTGCGGTCCATGCATGGGACGGCAGCCTGTCCTATGCTCAACTAGATGGAATGTCCACCCGACTCTCTGTTTGGCTTGCGCTTCAAGGGGTTGGGCCAGAGATTTTCGTTCCCCTCTGCTTTGAAAAATCCCGGTGGACGATCGTTGCCCTCTTAGCAGTCATGAAGGCCGGCGCGGCGTTTGTCCTCCTTGATCCTTCGCAGCCACTTCAGCGTCTGACGGATATTTGCGAGCAGACCAATTCCCCTGTGATTCTGGCGTCGGAACAGAATGCCGATCTCGCTGCGCGCCTGCAATTGACGGTCCGGGTCGTCAGTCAAGCAACCCTGTACCAACTGCCCGCCTGCCTAGAGAACCAGCGAGGCCCTGTTGTCCATCCCAGCACGGCTCTCTACGTGGTTTTCACATCCGGCTCAACTGGCACCCCCAAGGGTGTCGTCGTCGAACACCGGTCCTACTGCGCCGGAGCCAAGTTCCATATCCAAGGGCATCGGATTTCTTCACAGTCCCGTACGTTTCAATTCGCCTCGTACGCTTTTGATACCAGCATTATCGAAATGCTAAGCACGCTTATGGCCGGTGCCTGTATTTGCGTGCCTTCAGAACACGATCGCCAAAACGACTTGGCCCGAGTGGTGGAGGAGATGGCCGTCACCCACGCGTTCTTGACGCCCTCAGTGGCCCGCGCTCTGGCTCGGGCATGCACACATCCGTTCGAGGTCGTCATCCTAGTCGGCGAGCCAATGACGGCGTCGGACATTGCATACTGGACGCAACACGCGCGGCTGATGAACGAGTACGGACCGGCCGAGTGCTCGGTTTGCGCCACCCTCAACCCGGAGGTGGGCCAGGGCTCTGATCCCCGCGATATAGGGAAGGGGGTGGGTGCCGTCTGCTGGATTGTTGACCCGGAGGACCATGACCATTTACGACCCATCGGAGCTACGGGCGAGCTTCTGATCGAAGGGCCCATCGTCAGCCGTGGCTACCTGGGAAATCCCATGTTAACCGCGGAGAAGTTCCTTGCTGACCCCCCTGCGTGGCTACGCGAAATCCGCCCGGACGGTCCACGGACTCGGTTCTACAAGACGGGGGACCTGGTGCGGTATAACCCAGATGGCTCGCTACAATACGTCGGCAGGAAGGATACGCAGGTCAAGCTGAGGGGGCAGCGTGTTGAACTGAGCGAGGTGGAGAACGGCATCCGCTGCTGTATGACCGGGATTATCGATGTCGTGGCCGAGACTTTCGTTCCCCGGGGAGGGACACAGGGCCAGCCGTGTCTGGTGGCATTTATCTGGAGTGCATATCAGGATCAGTGCCCCAACAAAACCAGTGACGACGGTCCGTTGGCATCGGTCACAGACGCATTCCACGGTCAGGTCGCAGCGTGTCTGGAGGACCTCGACAAGTTCCTACCACGCTACATGATCCCGGATGTTTTCATCCCGTTGCGGCAGATCCCAACCAATGTGTCAGGAAAGGCAAACCGGCGCTTCCTGCGTGAGTTTGCGGGGAAGTTGTCCTGGGCCGAGCTGGCCGCATACCAGCCAAAAGTAGAGGATCGGCAGACGCCCATGAGTGAGGCAGAACGGACAATGCGTGGGGTTTGGACCCAGGTTCTGAACGTAGCACCAGAGCAGATTGGGATTAATGACAGTTTCTACCATCTGGGGGGAGACTCGATCAGCGCAATGCAGGTGGTGGCTCTGGCCCGGTCCAACGGGCTGTTTACCTCGGTTCAGCACATCCTACGCCATCGAAGTATCGCGAGGATCGTCCAGCATATTCAGAAACCGAGCACGCGAGAAATAGAGGAGGATGAAGTGCCAGGACTTCCCTTTGGCTTGTCGCCTATCCAGAAAATGTTCTTTGATATCCAGGCCAATCCGCGTCAGCAATACAACCAATCGTTTCTCCTGCGTCTGTCTTCTACCATCGAGATGAGAGATCTTGAGCGAGCTGCTCAGGCGGTGCTCAAGAAACATTCCATGCTGCGGGCGCGCTTCAAGCAGCAACCGGACGGACAATGGAGCCAAATGATCACCGATACGAGCGACGGCTCATATCGTTGCAAGATGCATACCCTGTCCAAGCGCGGCGAATGGGATTACATCCTCGCGAGGGCCCAGCAAGCAATCAATATCGAGACAGGACCTGTCTTCTCGCTCGATTTGTTAAGTGCCGCGTCTGATGGCCAGTATCTCTTTCTCGTTGCACATCATCTAGTGACAGATCTCGTGTCCTGGCGCATCATTCTCTCTGACCTAGAGGCATTGCTGGGGAATCCGACAGCGACAGTGACAGTCGGCAAACCCCAGCCGCTCTCATTCCAGGTGTGGTGTCGGCTACAGGAGCAGTACAGCCAGCAACATCTGGATCCTACCACGGCATTGCCGGCAGAAGCACAGAGCCGGTCGTTGTCCGATCCTCGACCCTTCTGGGGACTCACTGGTCAGGCAAATGTGATGGGAGATAGGGTCGTTGAACAATTTACCGTGGCTAGCGACCTCACGCAGCAGCTGCTAGGACCAGCAAACGCGGCATTAAATACACGCCCAGAAGAAATCTTCCATGCGGCCCTGCTGTCCGCTTTTATACGCGTTTTTCCAGACCGGGCCCAAAGCCTACCTTTGATCTTCGTGGAAGGCCACGGCCGAGAGCCGTGGGACGCCGCGGTCGATTTATCAGAGACAGTGGGATGGTTTACCACGCTCTACCCGGTGTCGGTGCAAGTAAGCGACAACGCGAGCCTCATCGAGATCCTCCGGTTGGTCAAGGACACGCGCCGCACAATACCGCAGAAAGGATGGGCATACTTCAACTCCCGGTATCTGCACCCCGAGGGACGGGCTCGATTCAAGACAAAGAGCCCCATGGAGATCATCTTGAATTATGCAGGAGAATACCAGCAATTCGAGCGCCCCGACGCGCTATTCGTCCCTGACAGCCATAGTATTCTCGGGTCGCTCGACGCCGCGGATGAGATCGAGCGACTCGCTCTGTTTGATGTCTCGGTCTCGGTGCAACGTGGCTGCCTAACGTTCGAATTCATGTACAATCGCCGGATGGGCCATCAGCGGGCGATCAAGGAATGGATCCAGGCAAGTAGGGACGGCCTCGCTCAGGCGTGCAGAGTCTTAGTGGACGCTTCGCCGCAACCCACGCTTTCGGACTTTGCGCTGTTGCAATTGCCTTATGAAGAGTTTGGCCGGCTGGTCTTTGAGACTCTACCGGAGCTGGGGGTGCGGACTGACAATATAGAGGACATATACGTCTGCTCTCCGGTTCAGCGTGGGATGCTGCTGTCTCAGGCAAAAGACGGAGGCCTCTATAATGTCCGGGTGACCTGGAAGATTGAGCAAGCAACTTCCGCCACTGCCGGCTTACGGCGGATTGGAGACGCGTGGCAACAGGTGGTCAACCGGCATGCTGCACTGCGTACTATCGTCGTCGAAACAGGGTCGTCTGAATCTTACCTGGTGCAGGTCGTCCTGAAAAGCGTCACTCCAGACATCGTACACAGCGAGAGTCCTCCAGGTAGTGATCATCATCACCGCCATCCCTGGCCAAAGGGCCGGCCTTTACATCGAATGACTCTGGTCAAGGAGAACGAGGCCTTTCTATGCCATATCTGCATCAACCACGCAATGGTGGACGCCACCACAATGGATATCCTCTACCGGGACTTTGAGCTCGCGTATCACGGCAAGCTGCCGGCTCATCCGGCTCCTCCGTTCCGGGACATCATCTCATACCTACGCCAACACCCCCCGGAGGAGGCCAGAAGCTACTGGACCGCGTATCTCTCAGGCGTCCTGCCGTGCCACTTTCCGCGCCTCGATTTCACGAAGCAGCGATCGGATCGAGAGCATATCGCGCGCATACACCTCTCTGCACGCGACAAGCTGGATGCATTCTGCCGGACTCGCAACGTGTCTACGTGGAGCGTGATCTGCCTTGCGTGGACGCTTGTCCTGCGGTCTTTCACCTACTCCGACGACGTGTGTTTCGGGTACGTCAAATCTGCGCGGGACCTGCCCATCGAGAATGTCGAGGACATCGTAGGACCCTTGCTCAATGTGCTGCCTTTACGGATGTCCGTGAGCGAGGTATTGACAGTGGATGCGGCCGTCCAGGCTATTAAGGATGACTACCTTGGCAGTCTTGCGCATCAAACTTTCGCCTTGTCGGACATGCACCGTATTGTCGAAGGGTCGAATCAGGCGCTGTTCAATACTATTGTCGATGTCCAGCGCAGGGACCAGGGTAGTGAGGAGACACCAAGGTCAATTTGCAAGGTGAGCAAGGAGGAGGTAACAGAGGTATGTGCCCTACTCCGTCCGTTTATCGACTTGCATACCAAGTGATACAGTACGATCTGGTGCTGTCGGCGGACGCCTTCGGCTCAGAAATCGACGTTCAGCTGAGATACAAGACGAGCTGCGTTTGCGAGGAGCAGGCGACTAGCATCCTGGCAACATTTGAGAAAGCTCTACAGGGCATCATCGCCGACGATCAGAAATTAGTCCAGCAGATTGAGCTGTGCAGTGAACATGACGAAACCCTCCTCTGGAGCCGGAACAAGTCTGTCCCTCCAAGCGTCGAGGCCTGCGTCCATGACTTGATCAGCAAGCATCACGGTGATATGCCGGCCGTCTGCGCGTGGGACGGCGGCTTGACGTACCGCCAACTAGACCGGATCTCGTCGCGGCTGGCAATGCATCTCAGGACGCAGGGGGCCGGCCCAGGGGTCATTATTCCGCTCTGTTTCTCCAAATCGCGCTGGACGCCCGCGGCGATGCTGGCAGTCATGAAATCCGGCGCCGCGTTCCTTGTTCTTGACCCGTCGCACCCATATCAGCGATTGAAAGAGCTCTGCAGCAAGGTTGACTGTCAAATGATCGTTTCTGCGGAAGGTCATACACAGCTAAGCTCAGAATTAACCTCCAATATCATAATCTTGGGTGACAACCACACATCCTGGCCGTCCACCGCTCAGGCGCTGCCCCGCGTCCGCCCCGAAGACGCGCTATACGTAGTCTTCACCTCTGGATCAACAGGCAGCCCGAAGGGCGTGGTGATCGACCACCGCGCCTACTGTACCAGTGCATCGGCACATACGCCCATCCTAGGGCTAGATTCGACCTCCCGGGTGGCGCAGTTTTCGTCTTACGCGTTCGACGTGAGTATCATGGACCACCTGACGACACTGATTGCGGGCGGGTGCATCTGCATCCCGTCCGACTCGCAGCGCCATGACGACCTGGCTGAGACCATCAGGCAATTCCGGGTCACCCACGCAGTTCTGGTCCCGTCTGTCGCGCGCCTGCTCCCTGCCGACGGTCTGGACTCGCTGTCGACGTTAGCGATGATCGGCGAAAGCATGACTGGGACGGATGTCGCTCAGTGGGCAGGCAGCGTGCGGCTGATTAACACGTACGGGCCCGCAGAGTGTTCCGTCATGGCGACGGCTCAGACCTCGGTCAGGTTAGACACCGATCCCGGGAATATCGGGCATCCGATGGGGTGCGTGTGCTGGGTGGTCCACCCTGGGAATCTCCGGCAGCTGGTGCCCATCGGTGCCGTTGGAGAGCTCGTCATCGAGGGCCCGATAGTCGGACGGGGATACATCAACGATCCGACCAAGTCGGCAGAGGCGTTCGAGCTCTCGCTTCCCTGGTTGGGGCAGAACCGACCGCCTCATGACCGTCACGGTGTGTACCGAACCGGCGATTTGGTCAGGATGCACCCGGACGGAACCTTCACGTTTATCGGACGCCGGGACAATCAGGTCAAGCTTCGAGGGCAGCGGATTGAGCTGGGAGAGGTGGAGGAGCATATTCGACAATGCTGCACTGGTGCTAGCGAGGTCGTGGCCGAGGTGTTGATTCCCCCGGGGGCCAGCAACCCGCAGCTTGTGGCCTTTGTGTGGATATCAAGCCTTACAAGTAGTTCGGCCGCGGACGTCCTGGCTGGATTCACCGACGAGTTCCAAGCCTTTGTGTCTGATACCGAGACGAGTCTTCGGCAGGCTGTCCCTGCATTCCTGATGCCGTCAATCTTCATGCCTCTTGCCCGAATTCCGCGCACGGGGTCCGGAAAGATCGATCGAAGGAGAATTCGTGATGCCTTTCTAAGTCTCCCGGCCGGTGCACTTGATCCAATTCGCCGAAGGAAAGCACCGAAAGTCGAGCCAACGACGCATGCAGAGCGACAACTGCAGAAGATTTGGGCCGAGGTCCTCCATCTTCCGCTGGAAGAGATTGGCGCCCATGACCACTTTTTCCATCTTGGCGGCGACTCGATTGATGCCATGAAGGTGGCTGCTTTGTCCCGCGCTGACGGACTCGCTGTCGGTGTCAGCGACATTTTTAACCAGCCGGTGTTGACACACCTTGCCAACACGGCAGCTCCGTTGGCGCAAGGCCAGGTCCGACAGTTTGAGCCGTTCAGTCTGTCGAGGGTGGACGCGGGTCCCAAGGCTCTCTCTGATATGATACTGAGTAAAGGGATGGTGCCTTCTCCAGTCCAGGTAGTCGACGCTCTCCCGGCAACCGAGGTCCAGGAATTTTTTATCAGACGGAACACGCTGCACTATTATAATTTCCGTCTGCGCGGCAGACTCGATATCGATCGACTCCGTGCCGCGTGTGACGAGGTGATGTCCCGTTTCAGTATCCTGCGCACCGTCTTCCTGGACCGTCCCGGCAGCTACGAGCAGCTTGTCCTTGAAGGGGTTCGTCTACCGTTTGAGCATTACACTTTTGGTCAGGATTTCGTCTCCAAAGCTCAAGCCCTCTGGGAAGACGATCGATCGCATTTTGAGATTGCCCGCGAGCTGCCCGTCCGCTTCATCCTGGTCTCTGGTTCCGACACGGACCATCTGTTTACGATTCGCATCTCCCACGCGCAGTGGGACGGCGTGTCCATGCCGTTCCTCTTTCAAGATCTGGCTGCCGCGTACAATGGCATCGCCTTGACACCCACCTCGGGCTTTTCAGACGTAATCTACCAACGAGCCGTGCAGCGCGGCGAGGCCGGGTTTAGCTTCTGGCGCGAATATCTGGATGGAGCTGTCATGACCGTCCCTTTCCCACTCACCCCAGAGCGCAATGTGCAGCCGCAGCATGGTCAAACATTATGGCATGTTCAAGAAACGGCGCTACCACATCTCCCCCCGGGCTTCACCATGGCCACGCTCGTCATCGCCGCATGTGGATTCCACCTCGCGCGCCTCATGTCGCGCACCGACCTCACCTTCGGCCAAACCGTGAACGGCCGCAGCATGCCGCTCGATAAGATCGACGTGATCTTAGGGCCCTGCTTGAACTTCATCCCACTGCGCCTGCGCCTCCAACGCTCCTGGACGGTGCGGGATCTCCTGCGGCACGTCCAGGAACAGTACGTGCGCCCCCTGCAGTATGATTACCTGGAGCTGCGGGATATCGTCCGGCAGAGCACGGACTGGCCCGCGGGGACTGAGTTTGGCTTCATCGTGCAGCATCAGAATATCCAGTTGCAGCATGAGCTTCCTTTGGATGGAGATGTCCAGGCGGAGTATTCGTTGTTTCCGCAGTTTGATCCCGTACAGGAAGTTTTTGTTTTTTCGGAACCGCATGAGAGTCATTTGGAGATGCAGGTGTGCGCCAATAGTCGGGTTTTGGCTCCAGATTCTGGGAAGGCGTTGGTTAAGGCTCTTTGCGAGACGCTGGAGATGTTTGCTAATGATCTGGATATGGTCCTGCCTCTGCCTCGGTGGTCTTAGTATCTTTTTTTTTTTTTTTCTATCTAGAAGTATAGATTGCCTGCTCGTCTCATTAGAAGATCATTCAAGATCTCTTGTTTTATATAAATGACTAGATTTCAGACTTGGTACGGTTTCATATTCGAAGCTGACAACAAACGGTACTCTGCTCGCAATTGAGATTTTTCGAATGGAGAGTCCTGTAGGATTGCAGCAGGAAAGCAAATTAGAGCCAATTCGAAAAGGCATGCACCGATAGGCTGTCCTGTCTGTCAAAGTCCCGTTCCTGGGGCGCCAATCCGAGTCTAGTGGAGATGAAGCTATCCACATGGGTCCTATATATCTCAGCACAAAGCGATAATCCAATAGACGGTTGAGGGCCACCAATTCTGTTCCAGCTACGGCATTTGACATTAATTAGATTATTAGCAAGACGACTGAAATCAAACCGGCGTCTGGCTAGGCTCGCGTTGTTTAATGTGTGGACCTATCATGATCAGGACAAAGGATCGCCGATGCCCTGCCAAGAAGAAGGCGTGTTTGAGAATCATCTCCACCTGCATTTGTGAAACACGATCCATCGAATCTTGCCTGAATCTTCAATGAGAATTGACCGGAATCTGCATTGGATATGGGCCCTTGCCTTGTTGGCCCTCCTGCTTTATTTCCACCAGCCATTCAGCGCAGGCGCTAAACGAGGGCGTTATCCTAAGCGCTCAAGAAGATTGCAAGACCCTTGGCCGATCCTTTGTCATTATACTGATTATTGTCTAGACTAGATTCCAAAGTATTTAAACAAGATGGAAGTCGATTGTCTTGACTGACGCAAGCTTCTTTCCTTCTCGCTTCATTCTCATCTGCTTGACGCAGTTTGTCCTTCCTTTTACCCACTTATTCACTCCTTTGATCAAAATGTATAGAAATCTCCTTGCAGTGCTGGCACTGCTGACTGCATCTGCTCATGCTCATACCGTCTTCACCACCCTCTACGTCGACGGAGAGAACCAAGGCGATGGAGTCTGTGTCCGCATGAACCGAAACCCAAGCAAAGCGAGCTTTCCCATTGAGCCTCTCTCCAGCAAGGACATCGCCTGTGGTAAGTCTGCGTCTCCCCCCCCCATTGATTGTCAACCAGACTAACAATATATTTATAGGCTACGATGGCGAAAAGGCCGTCGCGCGCGTCTGCCCCGCCAAAGCCTCCTCAACCCTCACCTTCGAATTCCGCGAATACGCCGACGGCTCGCGCCCGGGCTCCATCGACATAAGCCACAAGGGCCCCTGCGCCGTGTACATGAAGAAAGTCGACGACGCAACGGCCGACAACAACGCCGCCGGTGACGGGTGGTTCAAGATCTGGCACGCCGACTACGACGCCACCGCCGGCAAGTGGTGCACCGAGAAGATGATCGAGAATAACGGGCATATCTCCGTGCAGATTCCCGCAGATATCGAGGGGGGTTACTACCTTGTGCGGCCGGAGTTGCTGGCTCTGCATGCGGCGCAGGATAATCCTCCCGACCCGCAGTTTTATGTCGGCTGTGCGCAGGTGTTTGTGCAGTCGACTGGGACGGCGAAGCCGGCGACGGTGAACATTGGCGAGGGGACGTATGATCTCAGTCTGCCGGGTATGACGTATAATCTCTACAAGAAGCCGTTGGAGCTGCCGTACCCTATGTATGGGCCGCCGGTGTACCAGGCGGGTAAGTCTGCGTCTGCGAATACCGCATCTGCCAATGCTGCGTCTTCCAATGCTGCGTCTGGAAATTCTGCATCTGCCAATGCTGCGTCCGGCAGTACTGCGTCTGGCAATACTGCGTCTGGAAATTCTGCATCTGCCAATGCTGCGTCCGGCAGTACTGCGTCTGGAAATTCTGCATCTGCAAATGCCGCGTCCGGCAATACTGTTTCTGGAAATTCTGCGTCTGCATCTGCCAGTTCTGCGTCTACCAACACTGAATCCGAGGAACCGGAATCAGTCCCCGCCAACGTCTGCAAGAACAAGCCCAAGAAGAAGAACAAGAACAAGAAGAAGAAGAAGCGCGCGATGCTCGTCCAAAACAAAGGTCTCAAGCCCGCAGGCTGTATCCTCGTCCGAGACAACTGGTGTGGATTCGAGGTGCCATCGTACACTGACGAGCAGGGTTGCTGGGCTGTATGTCTTCCCGTCCCCGTTCCTTCCTTTTATCCAGGAATCCAAACTGACAAAAATAGTCATCCAAAAACTGCTGGGATCAAGCCGACGTCTGCTGGAACACGGCGCTCCCGACTGGCTCGGCACACTGCCAGATCTGGTCGGACAAATGCACGGCGCTCGACGCATCGTGCAGCAACAAGGTGTTTCCTGGTCCGCCGAATGCAGGCCAGGATCTCACCCCGAAGGCGGCTTCGCTGGTGGGATCCATCAAGATGTTTGCGCGTGGCGTTCGGTCGCATATCAAGAGGAGGAGACATGCTCATGTTTAGACTTACGGCGTGAAATTTGGATAGTAACCTGTGCTCTGATCGGTGCATATCAGCGAGAACTTGATAGGCGTAAAGTGCTCAACTGGCGTATTTATAGACAAATATCTATAACCATGAACTGCTATCACCATCGTTCTCATACTTACTTCTGTAGAGGCTCAAATTCTGCAAATCCACTTCAGATCTTGATCCAAAGAGTGAATAATGAATTCGTTCTCATCGGCTGAAGCGAACGCATGAGATCAATCTGCCGTTCGGTGAAAAATGGGTCCTACCGATCGCTGTCTAGGATGTGATGCCTCATTAGTCGATGTTTGAGTGCAGTTTCTGCCGTTATACCTGCATTTTGATGGTGACAATGTTGGGAAGCGCTGATATATTCTGACTGCTAGAAACCAACTATCTAGGCCCAGAGAAATGAGGAGACGGCACAGGATTGATCAACTTGATTTTGCTCATTGGATATGCGATCGCTTTTTACAAAAGCTGACTGCATTCAATTGACTTTGAACCCCCCCGGACACAGACGTTGGAAGACACCTTGAGGGTCATATTTCCCTGCAGTCCGTCTCAGAAACGCTTGTATTCCATTCCCATAGCTCGCTATAGGATCCTGCCAGGACGCAGCATGGTTGAGGTCAATATACGGATTATAGGCGCCAGCTGCCTTGGCGGCACGGACGATGTTGTTCGAGAGTCTCTCGGCCGCCGCACTGACTGTGGGATACTCCTGTGAATGGTTGAATGTGGCCGATAGCAGTGCCAGGACGAGACCTTGCCGGGGTACGTCTAACCCCAGGACATTGCCCCCTCTGGTCGCACTCTGATATGCTATGGCGGGGACTATGGGTTCCAGGCTAATGGTCCATTGGATACTGGGGATAGCTGCTACGTCAGTGGTGCTCCCATTCCATATCTCAAAGACTTGCTTCAGCAAGTCGAGGTCGTTCTCAAAGGTGACCGCGAATGTGATTTGTCTATCGTTGTTAAAAAATGGTTACTGTCGTGGATGTGATGACTTACTGGCGAGAGTTTGGTGACAGCGAACCTCCCTTGGCCGCGAGAGCTCCTAGTGACATCACCTGAGCACTGGCCATCATTTGAGGCTGGATAGAAGTGAATGGTTTGAAAGGGGCTGGATTCTCTTGGGGACTCGCGTAGGCTAATTGGTTGGTGAGCATAGGACCCGTGGCTGGGCTGAACGCAAAGTTGTGGATGAGGCCGGCCTTGACGTCGTAGTTGGGATTGGAGGTGAAGCGATGGAATGCGTCCAGCTGTTGGTCCAGTGTGCTCACTGGGTAGTAGATATCCCCTCCCCATACCTCCCCTAGAGGAAACGTTTTGAAGACAAAGTTGGTCACAATACCAAAGTTATTGGATCCTCCTTTGAGAGCCAGCCAAAGATCGTGCTCCTTGTCCTTCGTCGCGTTGACAATTCTGCCATTCGCAAGGACCACCTGATATTCGACCACGCTGTCACAGGCAAATCCAGCTTTCGTAGCAAAGTAGCCGAAGCCACCTAGCCTGTCAGAATGGGTCAATTTATGGCATAGGTTAGCTTACCACCCAAAGTAGTCCCTCCCACTCCCACCGGACTATCTCTACCTCCTGGTACAGACACTCCGATAGTGTCTAGGGCCGTATATAGCCCTCCCCATCGCTGTCCAGGCCCGACTGACACGAGGCTTCCGTCCGCGGAGGGAACAGTCCAATTCAAAGCACTGAGGTCAATAGTCACTCCGTCTTGAATATTGGCAATCCCAGCAATTGCTCCATGACCACCACTGCGCACAGCAAACTTGCAGGCCTTGGGAACCAGAACCCGCAGTGCTTTGGAGACATCCTCAGCGGAAGTGGCGGACAAAACGCATGAAGGACTGATCAGCTGCTCTTGCTGCGACCAGTACGACGACACCGAGCATTCGTATGCCGTGCTATTTGGATATACTACGCTTGAGCCTAGGACACTCGTCAAAGCCTGACACTGGACAGAGTCAGTAAGTAGTTTGCTAAGAGGGATGGTCGCCTACACAAGTGCATGTTGCAAGTGCAATCGTGGGTAAGATAAAGGTAGCGTATAGAATGCTCCGAACGTCCATGCTGACTAGTAGGCCACGAGGAGGCCACGAGGAGGACACCCTTGTTTAACGGCGGAGGGGAACTGCAGTTGCAGAAGCGAAGAGAGGGGGAAGGACTTAAGGGAATCGAGTCCGACGCATGGACTGCCAACAACAAAGAACTACGTAGTATCATAATTGACTCCTAGTCTGATCCTGCCGGACTTTCTTGCTTCATCTCCTGAACTCTCTTTTCTTTTTCTCGTATTCATTTCTTTGTCCTCCGATACTAACCTAGCCTTGGCAGTATGGCAATCAACCAGAAACCCATCGTCAGCGATAATACTACCAATCCAGTAGTGGACTCGACTTCTGCCATGGGGATCGGTGTACGTCTGATTCCTCTGAGACCAGTCCACATCGTACAGCTACTAACTGCATTGACAACTACTGGCAACAACAGTGCCTCGCTCTATCCACCGTCCTCGGCGACAAAGTCTCATTTCCCCCCACCCATCACTACAAATCATGCACAGACTCCTATTTCTCGCAACAAAACTCCAACCTCCAGCCTCTGTGCATCGTCTCCCCGACCACCGTAGAAGAGGTCTCCACAGCCATCATCACCGTCACAAACAGCCACTGCCAATTCGCCATCCGCTCCGGCGGCCACACCAGCTTCGGCGGTGCTTGCAACATAGCCGACGGCATCACCATCGACCTGCGCGCGCTCAATTCCATCACCCTCAGCGATGATCGCTCCACTGTGTCAGTCGGTGTCGGCGCTTCCTGGGGCGACATCTACGCTTTTCTTGATCCGCTAGGTCTCTCCGTCGCGGGCGGACGAGCTGCGCAGGTCGGCGTGGGCGGGCTCACCATCGGCGGGGGAATCTCCTACTTTTCGCCGCGGTACGGCTGGACCTGCGACACAGTAACAAACTTTGAGGTCGTACTTGCGAACGGGACGGTCGTGCAAGCGAACGAGAAAGAAAACCCCGACCTCCTGGTGGCATTGCGCGGCGGCGCGGCGAACTTTGGCATCGTTACGAGGGTTGATTTCCGTGTGTTTGAACAGGGTCCTATCTGGGGCGGAACTGCTTATTACTCTCTTGACACGATCGACGAGCAGCTGCGCGCGTTTGCGGATCTGAACTCGGCGGAGGGGTATGATGAGTATGCGTCGCTGATTACCAGTTTTGGGTTCGCGAAGGGAAAGGGCGCGGCGGTGGTCAATAGCATTGTGTATACGAAAGCTGAGGAGCGGCCCGCCGTCTTTGAGCCGATTCTGAAGATCCCGTCGCTGTTCAGCACGATGCGTGTCAGGAGCATGCATGAGATGTCGCTGGAGCAGGGGTCGTTTGCACCGAATGGGAAGAGGTATGCGATTGATTTTTTTGTCCGTAACTACATGCAGGCAGCGCTGACCTGACAGGCAATTGTCTGCCGTGACGACGCATGCGTCGACCGTCCCCATGCTCAACGCGACGTATCTACGGTGGAGTTCCAGTTTGGCGGCCATCGAGAATGTTCCTGGCATTGTGTGGTCCCTCTCGTTGGAACCGCTCCCACCTGCGATCTATGCTCGGGCTTCTACTACGAATTCCATGGGTCTGTCGCAGGCTTCTGGCTCCCTGGTCGTCACGCTCCTCAGTGCTACGTGGGACGAGGAGGCAGACGATGCGAAAGTTGAGCAAGCCGCGCGCGCACTCTTTGCTGGGATTGAAGACGACGCGCGCAAGTTGGATGCCTACGAGCCATACGTCTATCTAAACTACGCGGCCGAGTGGCAGAATCCGATCGCGACCTACGGGAAGAAGAGTGTCGAGAAGCTGCAGCGAGTGAGCCAGGTCGTAGATCCAAAGGGGATCTTCAAGAACAAGATGCCTGGTGGTTTCAAAGTCCCTTTTACAAGTAACTAGTTGTATCATCATGGACAATTTCAATTCTTCACATTCTTCTCCAGTTCATCCAATCCCTGCCCATTGCTCATCATGCGATCCTAACCCCGTTAGCCCGATACATCTCAAGGAAGTAAACTCTCATAACTCACCAACAACCAGGACGGACACCAGCGTGACAGAATCCGGACCGCAGCACTATTAGGTCCCTTCCAGACCAACCCCCCGCTGCCGCTGCCCTTGGCCCCCAAAACATCCCCTACAAGCGACTCTGCAAACTCCTCAACCGAGCACCCCTTCGGGCCCGCCTGGCCCGTCGCCCACTGTGAGATGACATCCCTGATCGCTGCATAGCGCGAGCCGGCCGGCAAAACCACCCGCGGCTCGTTATCATGGAACGAGGTGCTGACGGTGCCCACCATCAGACACACAACGCTGACACCCAGGGGGGCCAATTCCAGCCTAAGCGTCTCGGAGATCTGCACGACGGCCGCCTTGGATGACGAATATACCCCTGCACATTAACCCGGTCAATCTATCTATTCCTAACCCAAAATACGAAGGAAAGAAGAGAGGAGGGATACCAATCCAGGGAGTATTCACCACGGCCCCCACACTGCTGAGATTAACCACTCTCCCCCGATTGGCAACTAGCAAGTCCGCGAATCCCTGGATCATCCGAACAACACCCCACACATTCGTCTCGTAGACCTGCTTCGCATGCTCGAGGTCCGCGTCCACCAGGGGGATGGTATACCCCGCTCCAGCGTTATTGACCAGCACATCCAGCCCGTGTCCGTGATCCTGCACGGCCTTGACGGCGGCAGCAACGGAGGCCGGAGATGTCACGTCGAGCTGCAGGAGGGTGACGTTGGAGAGGGTGGTGAGGGGGGAGGGGATCTTAGCGGGTGAGCGGGCGGTGGCGAAGATGTGGTGGCCCCGTTTGGCGAGGGAGAGGGCGAGCGCGGCGCCGATGCTGTTGGCTGAGCAGCCGGTTACGAGGATGGTTTTGGGCATTGAGTCTCTGTTTGATTTGGGATTAAGATCGGATTCTGGCTGTTTGAGTTTGAGATTGGGGATTGAGACAATTGTTGGCTACAGATGGGAAGATCTTGTTTATTTGACGGACTTGAGGAGACAGACAGGGGTCTATACACTATTGTTGTGCTACAGTAAGATAGGAGGTTGAGTTGATTAGATTCGTGGCAAGGATTCTGCCTCTGCTTTCCTATTTACTGAATACTTGAAGGTTCTGACTGACAACTCCAAAGAACATTCAAAGTATATCCAAGATGTTGGTTCTAAACTGTATTGACGCTTGGCTTCCAAACCGTGATGGAGAAAGAGGCCTACGGAGATGATCAGATGAGGGGCCGAGCAGACTAGGCTGGGAAGACCAACTCACTGAATCATCTCCGGCCGGTTTTGGACTACTGCATCCTGTATCTGCAGCTAAGCTCTAGCCATCACACCAGCCCGTGCAAGTGCAGCACAATAGTGTCGCAAATAAATAGCCATGTTTCTATTTTGATCTAGGACTATCGCTGCCTGTTTCCACAGAATCATGTCGGCATCCGGATCACCTGGTAAGTAGGACGCGGGTTCTACGTACTTGCATGCTCCTTGGCTGTGTCGTGTCTCTAACCTGCGAGTTCTATCCGGATCGACATCCTCGAATATCGGAGAAACTCGACTACGACGCGAGGGGCCAAAATTATAGACTGGACGGGAAATAACCAAGGTCCTTGCCGGGATGAGCCGTCTGTCTGTGTCGAAGGACCTGGTCGAGAACAAAGTTGCAAGCGTTATCTGAAGCATGTGGATGGATCATTGACAATATTGACAGGGATTATCATTATACTATTAACAGGTCTCCGACAAGATCCTTGTCTATGCCAACAACGCGCAGTGGTATCATACAACATCATACAACGGAATACTCCCGAATCTCCTGCTCAATGTTGACCTCACGGGAGATCCCCCTTCCTAGCGTGGATGGCCTTTCTCCCCCTCCTGCCTGTATCTTGGTGTTCGTTGCATAAGCAAAGTCTCTCAGCTCATGGTACTGCCCCGTCGCGTCGTCCAGGAGATGAGATCGAGACGGTTTAGCCTTATCCATATGGTGGTCTACCGTACCGGCCACAGAGTGACCACCGCTAGAGGTTAGTCGTGAACGTAGAGTTTTGAGAAGGGTCGATTCCAGGACGTGGCTTTTGAAAAAGGTCGCGAAGAAGGGCATCGAACTGACGATGATGGCGACGTTGTTCTCGACGTTTCTGGTTCATATCATCAGCGAGGTCACAGACTGTCTTTTCCTGAGCTTACACGCAGATGAAGAGCGCACTCTGAGTAAAGGTGGTGTCGGTGGTGGTTAGGAGCCGAATGCGAAAAACGAGAGCGATGACGCTTGCGATGATTCCCCTGGCACTACTCAGTATCTCGTCGGGTTTCTGGCAGCTTGAACGTACATCATGGCTGTTGAAAAGATGATCAAGAGCTGCCATCGCTTCTTGCGAGGCAGTTGGAGCTTCGAGAGAAGCGGGAGCGGCAGAATGAAAATGTAGATGTCCAGAACCACGGAGAGGGTTCCCTGCACGACACCCCAGTATATCAAGTGCTCTGGTCTCTTGTTGATCAGCAAATCCTCCCAGGTCTCTCCGATGTGCGGTGCGGCGTAGTACGATTCCAGACCGACTCCCGGCCAGTAAAGGACAAAGGTGAAGAGCAGACCGAACCCGATGGCGTATTTCATGGTTTTCTGGATGGTAAAGATCTGCCGGCATAGAAGGAAAATGGAGGATTTCGCAAAGAATATGACGGGTCCAAGGAGGACGCCTTGCGCAAAGAGAATCTAGGAGGTTCGCATGGTAAGCCCTCGAAGAGCTAGCAGCTGGGAATTGTCATACCTTCATGTATCTGCCTGTAAACCAGCAGGCGGGTATATCCCACTGATGACGGGTGTACTTGAGCACTAGACAGATCATTAGTCTAATCTGCGATAAATCTCATGAGGAAGAAACTGACTATCCAGAATCAAGCCATTATATGTCACGGACAGCGCCAGCGCGATAATCACAAAGCCTATACCAGCGCTCGTCAATGTCCTTCACTTCATGCGCGCTTTTGGCATCGCAACCTACCGTCTGCCCAATGCAGCTTCCTAAAATTTGTATACAGCCTCGCTGCTGTGAAAAGGGTCGCCCAAGCAAGCGTCACTGTCGTCACTGCGATGGTCGCACCGGCCAAGGACGGTGGATCTACGAAGTTGGGTGTCAGGCCTGGTGGAGGTTGAGCCGCTGGAATGGCGCAAAGATCCGTTCCTGGTGGGAGGGAAGACATGATGCGAAGACAGTATGGATACTATCATGCTGTCCGTTGCCTTGTATATATCGAGTAGTGATTAGAGAGTAATGAGTTGAGTATTACTTCGATCTAAACGCGCCCTGTTGTTGACTTTATTGGGGCCGTTTGCTGGTCGCATTGCATCCAGGCCAGTGTTACCAACGCACTGACATGCTATTATCTACTGCCTAAAGTAGCTTCTCCCCGAACAAAGAGCTCAAGGTATCAGCTTTATAAGTAAATCTAAAACGGTTCTCGTTCCAAGTTTAGGAGCATCGTATCGCGGGTTTTTCTTTGTTCTTTTTAAGTTGTGGATCAATTATGCTTTGCGCTTATTCCAGGTCAACAAAGGATCGATAGGTGTATGACGCGCAGAGCATGCGATAATGAATATTATGTAAACCAAAAAGACATCCAAGAGAGAAACTCGAATCCTCGGTTCTTAGTTCAAGAAATCCGAGGTAGCACTAATGAGGAGTATACTCAAATTGCTGTCTCCGACCCCTGCTAAATGAGCCAACTCGACATCCTCCATACGAGGTAAAGGCAAGATGATCGCGAATCACACTTTCTACTTCAAACAATAGTCGAATGAGCATCTATTAGAGGCAACATGCATCCAGCCTTACAGCCGATGAAGAAGCTGCTAAGTGTGGGATACGAACTGATTTCTCCCACTGGTGGGTTTTCATTCTGCAACTTCAACTTGCAGGGGGGCATAATGGGAAACTGGATAGTCCAATCCACCGAAAACAGTCGATTGGATAGTCGGCGGAACGTGCAGAGAGTGTAAAGGCAGGAGGGAAAAAGCAAAGTGAGACCTGAATGTCACCATCCGATCATAGCCTAGGCTGTGGTGGTGGCTCGGATGTTGATCTGCTTTTAGCTGCGTCTACACTCTGCAGAATTGACCATTAGCCAACCCATCAGCCAACCCATCAGCCAACCACTATCAAGGATCATCCTTATCGTCAGCACCATCATCCAGTCAACGCTTCTTCTTTTCTCTTGAACAGTACAACCGTACCCTCGCGGGGTACTATGCTCGACCGCCACGTCCTCCACCGTTGGCTACCGGGATCTTCCAACCGACACTCCCATCCCTCCAGAATACACACCATAATCAGCTTGAGGATTGTTGCAGCGTAAAACCGGCCGGGACTATGGATCATCAAGCATGTCAGCTTCAGACTATCTTCCAATAATAATAATGAGGGGTAGAGTTCCCCTCACCAGGCGGTGTTTCCCAGCCCCCAAATTGGCCAATCCACGCTAACATCTGTCATCATCAGAGGGCTGCTCTCGGGTACGTCCAGAGACACATCTCCTGCGCGTAGTTGCTTGTTTGCTCTGGCGAATCGAAACCCGTCGAATGCTTGCGGATTCTGGTATCTGATGCGATCGCGCATCATCGCTCGTTGCGGGATACATACCCAATCGCCCTCTGCGACTTCGAGTCCATCAGAAAACACGAATGGTGTCAGCGCTTTCCGTCGGACGGTGACTGCCTAAATCAGCAAGGGCTGCATGTAACCATCCAGAAGGAGTGTCAACACCCACTTGCATCCGAATTGGTGCAGCGAATCGATTCTCGCACAAAACTGTCAAGGAGCGGCATCTCAGCCACCCTCCTCCTGCACGAGCCAGCGAGATATTGTTGGATCTCGGCTCGAAGCGGCTCAACGTAGTCGTTATGCAGACAGAGATCCTCGATGGCGTATGTGGTGGTCTAAGTTATCACTAAACGATTAGCTTTTAAAGTTTCCTGTTTGAGCCGAAAGTACGGTTCTCGCTTGCTGCCTCACCATTGCCAGCTGGTGCACCGAGCCAAACCAGACCGCGATAATCTCCCCAACCATTCTGGTCGTGGTCCATTGTATTTTCCGTGGCGACGTGTCAATCAGCCACTGCATGCAATCCATCTGCAGGCGGTTAGCCAAGCGACCAAGTTGTCCTGAAGCTGAAACCAACCGGAGCATCTTCTTGAATAGCGCTGGTCGATTTGGCCCTCGTTGCTAACCGCTTCTCCACGATTGGCTCCAGATAGCGGAATAGTGTCCTGACGGCGTAGTGTTGTCGCGTCACTAGGTTCGCAACGGACCTTGTTGTGATCGGTTAGGCCAATTCAGTTGGTTTGGATCAAGTACTCACCGTCGGAGGAAACCCGGCGTGATACGCAGAATCTCAGCGGCTAGGATGACCCTCTGCGGGAATTCCAACGCAGCCGCGGTGAACTCAGGATTCTGCGCTGCGACATAATTAGCCTGGTGGGACTGACGTGCCAAGGAGGTAATCGTACCAAGGTCCTCCCCGAAAAAGGCGAAGCAGTTGACCTTTGTGACGGTTCGCTTGATCATCGAGAACAACCTGCAATGCACGAATCCTGCTGCAGTCAGATTGGATCAAGCATAACCAAAGGGATGGCCCCCACTTACCATCCTTACCCGGCACTGCAAGCTCATCTGCAATGGCAGTCTCGACGATCCTCTGTAACTCAGGCATTAGAATGGGCAGATGAGCCGTTAGCCTACTTCGCAAGGCACGGACAAAGCCGGTCCCCTCGACGCCTCGTTGGTCCTGCCACTCGAAGCCAAACATGGTGTATTTGGGTTGTAGAATCTACATCGTGTGTTACCTTCTGCTTCAACAGGGTCAGGGGGCGTACCTCTTTAGCTACAGCATGTAGTGACAGGTTTTGAAGCGGCGCGTTGGCCAGCTCCGTGATAAGATCGTTCGACGTAACCAACCAGTGATCATTCGAGGGAGTAGATATCTTAAATGGCATCCCCTCTGCCTGTTTCAGTCAGAACGTATCACTGCCTGAACAAGGAAGAACGTTCACACACTGAAAGATATGCCTTGTCGATTATATCTGGTCCCCGGGCCAGGTACCACAGACCACGGATGCGTCTGAGGCAAAGTATCAGGAAGACGACAAGAATCTCGAGCATAATGGCTATAGTCAATTGGTATAATGGAAACATTATGCTCACCAACACCGGACAACGGTCGAGACGTTATTATATAGACAACAGCCTATCTGATTCAGCCCTTCTGATTCAGCCCATCTCGATAGGGCCCGCTTCGGATTTCAATGTACGTCTAAGCGATACATTGACATGGATTTAGCGCTTGCCAACACCAACAGCAATATGCATGAATCTCACTGGCTAGGAAATATGTACACTTAGGTACTCGCTTTCAGTAGCGAGTACATAAACCGAGCCGCGTCCGTTACGTCTTCCTCGAACGGATTGTCGCCTCCAACCCATCATGCTTTCTGACGCAGCCTCTGCAGTGATCGACTGGACCGGCCAAGGGCTATCCTGGGTTAATCAGGAGTATCCAGCCCTGACGGTTGCAGTTACTTCTGCTTGTGTTTTGGTCCTATGGAGAATATGGCGGTTCACTATATTGCCTTCATATTATCCTAACGATCCGAAGGAACTACCATACTGGATTCCTTGTAAGTTAACCCCCCTTAGCATTGAATATCAAACTAATCACGTCCAGTCCTGGGTTCGTATTTTCTGTGAGCCTCTGCTACGCACTTGTTAATTTGCGACCAGGACATGGGGCGGCATTCTTCAGCAATTCCAATGCCCTTCTATCCAGAGCAAGGTGCGTCGCCATTCTCCGCTAAGGCATCGTGGCTTACCAAGTACCTAGAAATTACTACAACAACATCCAAGATCCGTTCGCCCTGACCATTGCCAATTCTCTCATCTACGTCATCACTAAACCCCAAGATGTCGCTGAGGCGTACCGCAACACCGACACTCTCTCCTTCAACGAGTTTGTGCAAGCGATGATGCGCGCCTGCGGGAACACCGAGTCTTGCGTAAAGGCAATGTACAACCCCCTGTCCAAGGACAAACCCGGGTTCCCGAATCCGCATGGCAAACCGCTGGCGACTCTGGCGCGCCAGATGCACATCCACCAATTGTATCCGGGGGATAATCTCGACTTTCTGGAGAAACAGTTCCTGGACTGGGTGGAACCTCGGCTGACCATGGACGCGCTCAAGCGGGAATGTCCCTACGCGATCCAGAGTGATCTTCCAACGGCAAAGAAAGACGATGGGATCGTCCTGCCATTGATGCAGTGGTGCTCTGATTATTTCACCCGGGCCGGCCAGCGGGCGTATTTTGGGCCGTCGATGGACGGGATCGACCCGAAGCTCCCGCAGACGTTTATCATTTTCGATGAGCTGAGCTGGCAGGTTCTGTATCAGTATCCTGATTTTCTAGCTGGGGAGATGAAGTCCGCGCGCAATGCAATCCAGCGTGCGTTGAAGACATATATCCAACTGCCCCAGGAGACGAGGCAGGGCGATGCATGGTTCACCAAGGCGATGGAGAACGAGATGCGCGCCCTGGGTATCAGCGAGGATGACATTGCGACGATGCTGGTGACGATATACTGGGGGTATGATTGTCCTGGATTTTACTTGCGATTGCATATCAGGAAACTGACAGCGTAGGATCAACACCAACACGCGCAAAGCAGCGTTCTGGCTACTCACCTACATCCTCCATTACGGTTCTGAGCACTATGTCGACATCATCCGGCAAGAAACGCTCCCTGCCTTCTCGCCTGACAAGACAATTCCCGACCTGGACTACCTACACGACAACTGCCCTCACCTCGACGCCATGTGGAACGAAACGATCCGCCTCTCCGCGTACTCTGCCTCCGTACGCTTCGTTACGTCCGACACCATCATCGGCGGCAAGATCCTGCGCAAGGGAAACCGACTGATGATCCCCTACCGGCAACTACATTTTGACGAGACCATCTTCGGCGTGGACTATCCCGTCGAGGAGTTCCGGCACGAGCGATTCATGCAGAAGGGCCGAAATCTGACCCGGAGCGACAACTGGCGGCCTTTCGGGGGCGGGACGACGCAGTGTCCTGGACGGTATGTCGCCAAGCGGTTTGTGTTGTTGTTTGTTGCGATGCTCTTGCGGCGATTTGATGTGGAGCTGGTGACGAACAGGGTCCCCGCGGCTGAGGAGGGGAAGCCTGTGCTGGGGATTATGTCAATTAAGGATGGAGAGGATGTGTTGGTGAGGGTGAGACCGAGAGTGATCTAGCGGTCGTATGTACTGGTGTGAAGTAGGACATATCTTCTCAACGAAGGAGCAGGCTTCCATGCTTCTACCGTAGTCGTGCGTATGAGTCGACCAATTCTACCTGTCAAAATATGTTTCACCTCAGCGTGATCTGTCATCTGTCTTCTGCGTCGTCAGCTCAAACCCTTCACCATCTCGCATTTAGAAAAACCGTTTCCAAGTCATGATTCTACCTGATCTACAGAGTACGGAGTAGAACTCGATCAATAATCCAGCAACTTGGCCAATCACCAGCGAAGGTCCGAATCCGACCCTCCGACAAAAGTGCCCGTTTCAGGAAAATTGATTCACCCTGCGACAGCCATACCAGCCACGTTGAACTCAACCCTGATTTACGAGTCATGGTGCTTCAGATTTGAAGTTCGATCCAACGAGATGATCAGCCCTGTCAAGTCAATTGAGTTTACCAGTCATTCACCCATTCCAGACCCACACAGGGCTGTGCCGGTTGATGCCGAGGTGTTCCAGGATGAAACACGAGGACCAGCTGGGCTTGCTGGACTCCTTTTTGAGGCTTGTCCACAGCACGACTGTGTCATGGACCAAGACTAACACTCAGTTCCGAACAGGCAGGGAGAATAATGATGCCTTTCCATATCAGATTGACTCATAGGGTCTCTGACCTCGCCGAGGATATGACTACAGCTAGGTGTGAAATCAACCATGGCACGAATCTTCACGAAAAACCCTATACGCTGTTGCACGATTGATTCAAATCATCGGTTTTGAGCCCTCGGTATTTGAACGGTGACGGCGATCAAACTCAAGCAATCGCCGAGCCCATTCTCTTTCGCAGTGCTATCCTAAACCGTCTATCGAACGTGACCTGTGCATCGAATCGAAGCTCAAACATGAAACTCCCCCACTGGGGGGTATGAAGATCAAAAGATTCTCCGAAGATCCTCCGTATCCAAACTCCAGTCTACAGATCGCAGCCCTAAGGACTACCGACTTTCTAGATCCGGACTTTCTGGATGCGATGAAACAGGGGCTGGCATCCAGTTCAGCAAGGCCTGCGATCGAGGCCGGCATTTATCTTTTATCATCCTCGGTTGAACTTGAGAGTAAATGCCGGTTTCAGGATGAAAGAGAAGAGGTATAAAGACTCTGCTCGCGTCGCTGAGTCGGAGAAGAGCAGAACCGACAAAACTACTCCCTTCATTCTCATCAGTCACTCGTTCCTACTAGAGCTGGACTCTATTCATTCTTTTTGAGACAAAATGAAGGCATCCGTCACCACCGTTGTCCTCCTCGCTGGGCTTGCCGTCGGTGCACCCACTAGAACTATTCATTCCGACCTTGAGAAGCGTCAGTTCGGCACCGGCACCGATGGACTGAGTGCTCTGGCCTCTCTTTTCCCTATCCTGGGCGGGGGCGGCTCTTCCACCTCGTCTGGTCTTGGTGCTCTGGCCTCACTCATCCCTAGTCTGGGCGGCTCCTCGTCTGGAAGCGGCTTCAGTCTTCCGGGATTCACCTTGCCCACGTCCATCCCCGGCCTGGGCAGTCTAGGTAGCCTGGGTGGCCTGGGTAGCTCCGGCTCCTCCGGCTCCTCCGGCCTTTCGGGATTGAGTGGACTCAGCGGACTCAGCGGACTCAGCGGCTTGAGCGGCCTCAACGGGCTGAGCGCAAGCACCACTGCCTCCAGCGCCGAGGCAGGCAGCAGCGCTAAGGCCGCCACCAGCTCCGATTCCAACTCGGGTGTCGCCCTCTCCGGGCTCCTCGGTGGTTAGTCAATCCCCATTCGACAGAAAAGTCGTATGCTAAACAACCAGAACACATCGCTAAACGCGACCTTCTAGGCTCCATCAGCGAAAACGGCGTCAAAAACAAAGCCGCCTGCCAACCCCTCACCTTCATCTTCGCCCGCGGCACCTCCGAAATGGGCAACATGGGCTCCATCGCCGGTCCTCCCGTGGCCACGAAACTCCGCTCCCTCCTCAACAACAAGGTCGTCGTCCAGGGTGTCGACTACCCGGCCTCCATCGAGGGCAACGCAATGCTCGGCGCCGCGGGAGGCACCACAATGGCCAGCCTGGTGAAGCAGGCGTTGTCGCAGTGTCCCGATACCAAGGTTGTGGTGGGCGGGTACTCGCAAGGCGCGATGGTCGTGCACAATGCGGCGAACTCGCTGAGTGATGGCCAGATTGCCGCGGCGGTGCTGTTTGGCGACCCGTTCAAGGCCCAGGCTGTTGGGAAAGTGGCCAAGGCGAATGTTAAGGAGTACTGTGCGGCTGGGGACCCGGTTTGTCTGAATGGGGCGAATGTGCTGGCGCATTTGAGCTATGGGGATGATGCGGCCGAGGCGGCGCAGTTTTTGGTTACGGCTTCGGGGGTTAAGGCTTAGCTTGCTTGCTCTTGGCCTTGACATATGGATATGATTATGGATTATTGGTTTGATGATTCGCTCGTTGTCTACGGATGGGATGTCGCTCTTTAGCTGGTATGGCATAGCATGACTGGCGCTGGCGCCTTAGATACTTAGGTGCCCACATTTGTTGGTTACCTGAGGTTGTGACTCATTTATGATATCAAAGGAAAGTGAGAGAAAAATATGGCTAAGAATAATGTTAAGATATCATTCTTCTCTTACTATTATCTCAGTTCAGTCATCTATTCACTAGACTTGACTCTATTCACTTCACTATTGAAACTTGTTTGTTCATTCACCTACTGAGTGCCAGCTACAAACAGAAGTAGTGAATATCAAATATCAACCATGATTATACATACAGCCTCATCGTCCACTTCGAGTATCACGTATTTATTAGGCAGATACCCAGATAGTAACGATTAGTGGATCTCAAGTTACTATTGTATATCTAGAGTAAACTGTCATAAGCTATTCCAATATAGTGCATTGAAAAAGTTGTTAGTTTATCAAATCCCATATAATCCTCAACGGGCTGTCATTATACTCTCTCTCTTTTCTGCGAAATTGACGTCTAGATTCCTTACGGGCTTCTATCGCTACCACAAGATCATTCCCTCTTGTTCGATCACTGGGGGACGTGGGCGATCCTAGGGGATGGGGAAGGGACGGTCCTTTAGATAAACTAAGGAATCCGAATGGAGGGAAGCATGCATGACTTTGCCAAAGCTGACTGACTGGTGCTACCTTGTAAAATTTCATTCCCCGACGCAGTAGATCATTTTTCTCAAACGATTGGCTAATCGGTCTAGCAGTCAAGTTGAAGCAATCCGCCGAGACCGTTGACGCACCAGGTATCAGTTCTCATTCAGACGAGCAAATTCAGAGCCACGCTGTTTAGCAAATCAATCAAGCCAACCCCAGCACTTAGCGAAAGACTTTTTATGGTCGTTCACCAACTCATCCACATCTTCCTTTCTCATCCCCATCTCCTCCCTTCGTGCGTTGATCCACTCATATCTATCCCGAAGCGAAGACAGCATTTCCTCTTGTAGGCTTCGTATCTCGGATTTTGAGTACACGGAGTCCTGCCCGTGCTCGTGCCGCCGACGCAACCTCCCTTCAAGAGAGTCCTGATACCTGATAGCCATGTTATCATCAAAAGCAAAATCATACCCATGGCAGACAGGGCAGGACAGGTCATCCCCACAGCTCCCAAAGAGCTCAGGCCACATCTGCTGACAGCCGCGGCAAAACCATTCATTGACGCCGCAATTGGGGCAGCGGCCGAAGAAGTAATGCTTGAGGACATCACTAGCGACAGTGAGCCAGAAGTCTAGGAAGGATAAGAATGGAACTTACCGCCCATAAGGTCGAACAACTACATTGGGTTCATCGTCACCTTCAACTTGAGATTTGAATTTGTGAAGGTACATTTCTAGGGTCATCTCCTCGCCCGTGCAGTTCCCATCATCGTCCTCCTCGTCTGCGTCTCCATCTTCGTCTGATTCTGCGTCTGCGTCTGAGTCTGCATAGTAGACGTTTGGTCCATCCAAGATCCAATGTCCCTTTGAGCCTGGGATATGCCAGTCCACCTTCTGCAAGATGATACAGGGTGCGCTTGAGCTTGGATCTCGTCTGGCTGAAGCAGACTTGACAACGAGCATGGCTGCTGCCTTGGGGGTATGCACCAAGATCAGGTCGCCCTGTTCTACGTCCTGGGGTAGCTTGTCCATTTTGGTGAAGCGTGTGGCGTTCTGGTGTTGAGAAGTGAATTAGAAGATTGATAGAGGAGTCAGACAACTTAGGCAGCAGGCCCGTATCAGCAGCCTTGTGGTATTGATGACGTAGAGTAACGCTTAAGGAACCAGGGAATTTGTCGCACTGACTTTCCATGATAATTATCAAATACAATGATTTCAGAAATTCACTCATATTACAAGCAACTGAAGTACACGAGCCTGAAACAGCAGGGACAGAGGGTGATCTCGGGGTAGAATCTCAAGAGCAAGCGGATTCCGGCCTAATAATCCCCCGTTGGCATCCCTTCACTCGCAGGAACATGCTGGCCATGAAATCCAAAGCCTACCGGTCCGTTCAGATGCGCTCTACCCAGCTCAGACATATCCCGCGCATCCAGACAGAGCAAGTAGCTTTTCCCGGTCTTCCCATCCAGCACAACACTCAGGAGGACACCATCATCCTCATTAGCGCCCACAGGATCGGCGACAAAGATTGCTTCTCCAGGCGACTGTCCATGCTGTTTCCAGACAGTAGTCTCTTTGGCCACGCTATCGTATTTCATGATGCCATCGAAGAAAGTCGATTCGCCGCGGTCAGTCACGGCGTAGGTGTATCGATGCTTCTGCGTGACATATTTCGGGTTCAGGGTAGGCAGCTCGGGAGCATAGTCCTTGCATGCTGTCCAGTTGATTGACGCCTCTTTGACATCTGATGTTGGAGCCGAAGGGATATCCTGAAGCCGGAAGCTGGTCACTGCGGAACGACACCCGTCACGCTTGCCTTGGACAAAGGCCTTTGCGGTGGAAGACGAAGAAAGTATGTTCTCGTAGTAGAGTCTCTCGAGTATGCCAAGGTCATCAAACAAGACAAGTTCGGCCACGACGTCGGTGTGTTCGGGATCATCGGCGGAAGGTTCCTGCCATGCGTTGATGGTGTGGAAGCAGAAAAAGGAGCGGCTTTCGTACGTCGCGAGGAGCCCTCGGCTGCCCTTGCGGTCGACAACGTACCATGTTGCGGGTTTCGAAGCGTCAAACGGTTGAATGGCTTCTACGAAAGAATCCTTGAACTTTGCTGGGTTGATGTGCGAGTTCCACACACAGAGGATCACGTAGTCGTCCGTTATTAGCAACGAATGCAGATACGCCGGGGTTCCAGGGAATTGGGCCAGAATCGACGTGGTGCCCGTTGAAGCAGACACATGGAAGATGCGGTAGACGGATCCTTCAGGACCAAACGCTAGGTTGAAGTTATATACGTCTCCTGTGACTGGATCCGATCTTGCATGAGCCGCCGACAATGGGCCGGTTAGATCAGGATGCAGATCCTTTTGCGCGGCGAGTCCAATGGGCTCGAGAGTCTCCGGATCGATTCGCTTGTAGTGGCTGGCATCAGTCTTTGCATACAGAGTCTTGATTCCGGAAGCTTTCGTCCAGCGGTCACCGGTCTCATGACCAAGACCAGGCATGTTGACAGACAGCGTTACTCCAATGTTGTGATAGGATGGTTCATTTGCCGGGGCATAAGAAGTCTGCACTTTGTTGAAGACAGCCTTGCAGGGATCGCGCTTTTGGCCAAAGCTGATCTTCTCCAAGGAGCCGGTCTTCCTCACTTCCTCGATCAACAAATCCGTCGAAAAGCGGGAGTTGTAGAATACGCGCGTGGACGGATGGGACTCATCTGGAGCCAAGATTTGGAATCGATGGGTGTGGCTGAAGCCGTCAAACCAGTGGGACATCTTGAAGGTGTCTCCGTTCTCCGTGTCAACCGTATACTTTCCTGGGCCCGTGCGATAGAGAACGCCTGCGGCGTAGGGAGGGATATGACCAATCAAGGAGAGTTCAACTGGTTGACGTTCCTCATAGTTGGCATCGAACTGCGGAGCGTACCGGTCAGCAACCGTTCGTCAGGTTTAAGTGTATATATTCACTTACCCCTTCATCATTGGGCCAGTCATTGAAGTATCGTTGGACGCTGGGCATCTTGCGATAACGAAATCTGAAAGAAATATGGTCTGAATATGGTAATCTGACGTCCAGAGTTCGATCGAATACAGGCACTGGGAGTCAAGAAACGCCAGTTGTATCGTTCAGGGAAGAATTTATACCTGCCCTGAGGGTCGGGGGATGAAGTATCCGATTCATGAACTGGACGGCATACAACCACATTCACCAAAACCTGGGGTACCATACTGATGGTCGTCTGACGGCATTCACGCTGCTAGTCGTTGGGGGACCCCGACGGATACGGAGCGAATTCTTGGAGGAGCGGCGCATTATGCCACATCCAATCATAGACTTTTAATCTGTGGAAAGTTAATCTCGATTTTGAAGGGGTATACATGATCTATCGTACCAGGTATTCTGGGGTATTCTGGGATATCTGGATTCTGAGTATTAAAGCCGCCTTTCCCCTGATTGAGAAGCTCAAAGAGAATAGAGAGCGGCCCATTCCTCGGAACTCTTCAGTCTGCGATTTGCAAGATTGAAGAATCGAAGCAATGTCCCCACAATTTTTCCGACGATGGGTGTATTTGAGAACTGAGATGGAGCAGTGCCACTGGATGTGATCTCAATATCAGACAAACCACGTGACTATTCGCTTCGCAAGTTGCAATTGGTGCACGTTGTTGAAGAAATACAACATTAACCATCCAGTTGAGGATGTGTGAGCAAACATTGCCAACAATACAGTGACTGACTCCCGTTACCGGATCGAGCGTATACCGTGGTTGTCATCGGATTCGAAATCGTGTCAATAATCTTCAGCTGAATCCACGGATCACATCATCAACCTTTGCGGGGGAATGCCGTCGGTGATGATTCAGTCCCGCGCCTCGGCCTCGGCGTAGGCAACCAGAATACCAGATATCTTTTCGGCACAGTCAACGTCACTTGTTACGCCTGTGTACACAGCATATGCAAGATACACAGAGGACCGGGAACTGACGATGGAGCAAAATATGAGTACAAACCCCCTCAGTGGTCGTCGATTGAGATGTGAAATCTGTTCCTTCACGTTTCATCGCAGTGACCACCTCAAACGCCATCTACTCATCCGTAAGTGTGCATGCAAAAAATGCATCAAGGCTTGACTGATCGGCTTAGATAAACCACCTAAACAATACCGCTGCCAGTTCTGCAGCTCTACGTATAGTCGCGGGTAAGGCAGGGCGCATGCGTGCTGCGATCGCTGTGCAACTAACATGTCGTACAACAGGGATGTTCTCCGTCGACACTGGGCTACGTGCGCTAAACGGCGGCAATCAGGGCTGGAGATTCCCCAGGCGGATTCTGGAGGTAAACATAAGCACGCCTGCGATGCCTGTGCCCGCCTGAAAAAGGCGTGTAATGGGCTTCAGCCATGTGCTGAGTGCGAGTCCCGCGGGAGACTGTGTTCCTATGAACGTTTAACTGGAGGTCAACCGGCCCGGGACAAACGAAGCGAGTTGACATCTGTTTATTCGGAACAGCAGGACTGGGAGACGCAAGGGTTCGGGTATCAGACTCTACTTCCGCCAAAGCCGGCATATCTGAATCACAGAACCAGTGCAGGGGTATTACCTGGGGTGTCAATCGGTGGCCGATAGCAACCAATTCAATTCGGAAAGTATGACACTAACCAGCAGTGCGAGTACGCTAAACGAAACGAAGCTAAACGGAAGGTGCTTGCAAACTAAACCTTGATCCAATAGTCACGCAGGCCGTCGTTCTCAATCTGCCTCCATTCTCCAATATTCCGGTCTTCTTCCGCCTTGTCCATCTCATTTGGTTTGTTGCCAAGGCCCAGATTGTACGGTCGGTAGCTTGGGTCAGCCCGCAGCCGTCGAATGACGCTGCCGTGGATTTTGGCATCTTTGGGAAGCGGTCTTCGCGAACCTCTTGCCTGCCATCGAGTCATGCGAACCGAACCATCCGGCGTGATCTTCAGTCGTTTGAAGGGGATCCACTCCAGAAGTCTCCAGAAGAAAGCCTCGGCTGGTCTCCCACTATCATAGTCGAGGGAATCGTGGATTCGAGCACGTTCGGCCTGGCGTACGATGTCCTGACCCTTTTCACTTGTTGCTGGATCTTGGCAGCCGAGCGCCTCAAGCTTGTCGCTTTCGAACGTAAGCCCGGCCTTGATGGCTTCCTGGACCATCCATGTCAGAGGGATCTGGCTTATGGGCCAGGACTTGCTCGGCCAGCCTCCCCCAACGTCGCCGTGGTTTCCGGCAAAGTACACCTCCTCAAAGTCAGCCTCGAGCTCTGAAGATTCACCGTCATTGTCCGAGTCGTAGATGTTTTCGGGTCCTTTCTTCCAGTCTTTGACGCTTTGCTTCATGTCCGGTGATCCCGTGCCCAGCTTGCTCTCGAAGAGTACGGGTTGGAATTTGATCCTTCGCTCATCGATACTGACGGCGTGTCTCATAATCCTCGGGCTTGGCCGCGTGCTGCTCTCCTTGTTCAACTCGGCCACACTGTTGACAGTATCGAACAAGCCTAAGAAGTGGACTTGCCCCACGGGTCGACACATCGTCTCCCGGCTCACGCTCAGGCATCGCATTGCACCCAAACGCTCCTCTTTATCTTCGCCCTCGGAGAATTTCCACTGCGTGAACGCCTCCCAGACGAAAGGGATCAGCTCCTCGTTGTCCGCAGAGAGGAGGCCGATATAATCCAGCATTTCGTTCAGGAATCGAGCCGTGTAGGCGCCTCGAGAAAAACCAAAGAGGTAGATCTTGGCGCCTGGGACCCATCGGCGCGCAAGGAAGCGGTAGCCTCGAATAACATGCTGATCGAAAGAGGTCGCAAGCGCAAGGTCAAAGGCCTTTGGAGTCCATGACTTGCCGCTGCGGCGCAGGACGGCGTGAGCGACCGAGCCTGGCGTTATGTCTGACCCAATGCCAGCTACGCCCGATTAGTTGCTGTCATTTGATGATTGGCGACATACGTACGTTGGTAGTAGCAGTCTATGCTCGTTAGCACACATTCGGTGATTGGGTCCAGGATAGTACATACATCGATTCTCCTTGGTTCGATCTAGCATCCGAAAGATCTTCAGGATGTTGCTCTCGCCACCGTCTGCACGAAAAGTATTTCCCGTGCCATCGAAACACAGGACGAGCTCTCGCGTAGGCGCGTCACGCCCGTCTTCGGAGTCCTTGTCCGTCATGTCGGTCGCGCTTTATTGCACATGAAAACCCTACAAGGGTAGCAAATGTAATTGGGGATTCCTCTCTGGAGACAAGTGAGATCTTCGAATATATAGGAACCAGCTCATTTGAAGTAATGACCCCCTGAGCGACGACGCTCAGCTTATCGGTGAATGGCCTCATTGCCCAGGATCAGCCTTGTGCATGGCCACCAGGCGGCCGCAGCGTACTACTCTGTAGGTTTGCGCCAGGGTTGGCGTACGTCAGATATGATTTGATGGTCGAGTGGAGGCCAAATGGAGCCCAAATGCCAATCTTTACTTTTTGATAGGGATTTATGGAACGTGTTTGTCGATCTTTCGTGTTGATCTCGGTAGCGGCGGTGATGCCGTTGGCGAACAGTGGAAACCTTTGAGATCCCTCCAATGATCGAGTAGTGGTACAACATGGGCAATGGCAGAAAATCTGATCTAATAGTTACATGTTACTAAGATGAAGGCAGGGCGTAGCTGAACATAAGGTTCGACGCGCTTGCGAACTGCAGATGCGTGGCGCAGATCGTCTCTCGGCGCAACAAATCACACCGCCGGATGAGCGCAACACATGAACCCTTCCCGTTGCACAGGAGGGCCGGAAACTCCAGCGTGAACAAGATGAGATTACCAATTGGTAGTGTTAGTAGATCCATCACATGTACAGAGTGGAAATGTCTCGCACCCAGCCTTACACCACAGCTGCTTACGGAGAACCAACAAGGTGATCGTGGCTCAGTCAAATGCTGCTTAAGTTATCTGTAAGACTGTAACGAGGCGAAGGCAAAAGAAATGGGCAAAGTCAGGGACAGACACCCTCACACACCAGGAACGGAAACTTCATCATCTCCCGCCTGCCATCCTCCCAATCCTCCACTTCCTTGTCCAGGGTCCACCCAACCGACACCCTGACCTCGGCGAATCCCACCTCCCGCATGAGATCCTCCATCCACCCGCGCGGAATCCCATGCCTCTCCACCCCCGCAAGCTTATCCTTGGGATGGAACAACCGCGCCTGCGGGCCAAAGTCCTCGAAATCAGTGAGGCAAACCCGCCCCCCGGACTTGAGACAGCCGCGGAGCGTGCTCAGGAACTGCCGGAGGTCGGGGACATGATGCATGACGAGGTGGGAGAGGATGAGGTCGAATTTCCGCCTCGCGCCTGTGCCGGGGCCGGTAGACTCGGTTGCGGAAGCAGGGGGCAGGACTGGATCCTCTGGGTTCGTGAGTAAGTGGCAGAGCGGCGTGATGTTCTTTGGGGCGTTTGGGTCGGAGAGCTTCGCGTTCAGCATTTCGATCATGCCCTCTGCGGGGTCAATGGCGACGATGTGCTTGACGTGCGGCGCGACGCGGAGGGTGAGCAGGCCTGTTCCGCAGCCGACTTCGAGGACGTCGAGGGTTTGCCCGCCATTTGATAGAGTGGTGATGAGGGGGTTGAGGGTTTCGTAGGCTAGGCGGGTGGCTTCCTGTACGGAGGGGTTAAGGTCCCAGTTGGCGGCTTCGGCGTTGAAGCGGACATTTCCTTCTGGTGGCTGGGACACTGTCATGATTTAGAGAAGGAGTTGCGTTAGAGACTTGATGATGATGATAGTTTGTTTGGGTCTGGTTGATCTGGAGCATGGCATCCCGGGTAGTACCGTAGTAGATACCCCAATGCGGGGTCAGGCAGTGGATCTTTAGTCGTCCCCTCTGGTTCATCTTCATCATCAACCAAGCATAATTCGGTGCTTCTTTATTATGGTGTTTTACCAGATCCATGATCATCCAAAGTCTTTCACATGGATAAACTCTGATGTGCAACGGAGCTTTGACACAATAAGTGGACATGTCCGACCTCGGTATAACCAGTACTCACAGACAACCTCTACAGGAGATGACTCCACGTTCTATCCTTGAAAATGGTTTACTTCCCAAGTGATATCAAGAAGGCTTCCGCAAGCAGACGGAGCTATAGAGTATATCCCCATACTATTTAACTATCCCAAGAGGCAGAAGTCTCCCGGTGTTTCGCCTTGTCATTAAACCCTCTGAGACCACTCATACTCGCAATAAAATGATCTCATTCTCCTCTGTTACTCTGTCTCTCTCCATCTTCCTATCAGGCTACCTCACCTCCATCTGCGCAACGCCTCCTACCACAACCCAGCGATCCCCCTACGAAACCGACCGCATCCGCATCATCACAGGCGACTTTGCCATCAACGCAAGCCGCGCCGTCGTCATCATCAGCGCTTACCATGCGCTCATCGCCCTCATCTACCAATCCAACACCAGTAGCAGCATTCTGCCCGCCATCTGCCCTCACCCCGAGAATCTCAACCCAGAGACCCTTACCTGGAGTCCGACGGCGCTTCTCTCCCTCCTCGCCATCGCCGCCGGCTCCGCCATCCGCCTCTCGGCGTTTGGGGGCCTAGGTCGGAATTTCACGTTTTATCTCGCGGTGCCGGATCGATTGGTTACGGACGGTGTATATGCGCATGTTCAGCATCCGAGTTATACGGGGTTAGCCCTGGTGGGGCTGGGATGTGTTGGTCTGTGTGGTCGGTGGGACGGGGCAGTAGGAGCGTGCGCATTGAGTAAGGATGTGATTGAGAGGCTTGATGGATGGGGCATGATGGTGATAGGGGCGTTGGGGACGGTAGCTGCGATGGTCGTAGGGATGAGGGTACGGGATGAGGAGAGGATGCTGCGGGAGAAATTTGGGAGGGAGTGGGAGGGGTGGCATGCCAGGACGGCGAGGTTCGTTCCAGGTATTTGCTAGAGGCAGAAATATCATTCATTCGGATCCTCCTTCTGCCATACATGACTATCCATCATTTGTGAGACGGTGACTGTAGATATCGGAGGAGCTGAAGCTACGGAGCAGGACAGCACAAAACAATGACATCATTGAATTGGAGATGACTGCAGTACAGTATACTTCTACCACACGTATAAGTAGAGAGATATGAACTGACGGACAGCATAATGTTATTGATACTGGGTATCTATAAGAAATTGAACGAGTTCAGCCTCGCCATCCTTTTGCTCCTAAGGTGAAATGGACATGCGAATGTGTAGAGTAGTGTAGTGTAGTGTAGCTGTCATCGGAGTTGGTCCGGTGGAGTCTCGTGCTCCCAGCGATCACTTCCCCTTCAACTCTGCCACATCATCCCGCTTCTCCTCACCCATCCTCGTCCGTCCTCTGCTTGGTTTATTTCCCATCAATTGGATCGATAGCAACATGGGCATCTTCAGTCGCTTCCTCAAGCTGACCACCATCGGAGGCGCCGCCACGGTCGGCGGGTTCTTCTGGTACACGCGCAACGACGTCTTCGTGCCGCTGCCTCTATCCGATCGCATCTTCCATTCCGCCCGCTTCAACGCCCTCAATCCCCTGCGCAACCCCACAACCCACGATCTATGCATCCGCCGAGTCCCCTTATCAGACATTGACCCCACCCTCCTCGAAAAGAAGGGAAAACTAGTCGAGGCATTCTGCGCCGGAGTCTGGAGCGGCTGGGGTATGTCCACAGAAACACACCTTGCACTTGAGCATTTCACCCAATGTAAAGCAGCAATGCTAACAACATTCTAGGCTACGCATTCCAACGCGCCTACCTCGCTCGCAAATATCAAGGCCCCGAAACCGCCAACCAGCTATGGTCCCGCTCCGAGCTGCGCTCCTCCACCTACGAACCCGGCACCCTGATCACGGACCACTTCGAGGTCGTCGAGAAGACCCCCAACCGCATCGTCGTGCGGTGCGGGGCATCCCCGCGCGTGCAGGAGGTCCGCCCCTCCGACGGCCTGTTTGAGATGTCGGTGGATGTGAAGCCCGACGAGGGCGTGGCCGAGTTTGGGCTCAAGAGCTGTTTCTTCCAGGGGCTGGGAAAGGCCGAGGCGCAGCCGATGCCGCCGCATATTGTGTGGTTGCATCAGCAGTATACTAAGTTGTGGATGGAGACGGCGATTCGGAATGTTTTGCGGTGATTTGCTGTCTTGTTTTGTATATATGTATATGCCGTCGAGCAATCTAATGCGTGCCATCTTTGGTAAATGGCTGTTCATCTGCATGTATCCAAGGATTGGTAGATTGATCTCATTGGAATCAGACCGGATGTCAGGCGGTGGCTGCAAGATCTATAAGCATGTTTCCTTTTTCTTTTCCTTTTTTCCGGATTTGCCCAATCACCCGACAATGCCGGTTCCTAATGGATTGACGAACGGGAACATGGCCCGTTACCGACAATGACAGGTCATGCCATGACGCGAGACTGGCTGGAAGTGACCTGTCCCATGTCCACTTTGGCCTAGTCGTTTGCCGACGAATTTCTAGGCAACACTTTCGTGCGCCAGCGATGGCTAGAGAGAAGGAGTTAATTCATTGTCGTTGACGATCAGATACACCAGCATTCGAAGAAATTTGTCCTGCAATAGCGGGTTGGTATGGAGAAGGTTTTGGCAGACGAGTCTAGGAGGAAAAAGCATATGTCCGGCAGAATGAGGACAATGTTAGAGCAACTCAGCAGATGGATCTGTCTTGAATTTGTATCTAAATTTTGGGTCTACTATGAGCATGTAGGAATAAGTCAACAATTAAGGCCTTGGTGTCTGCAGCGAGCCACAAGGTAATCAGAGGGTAGGATCTGAAAGAAGGAAAACGCAAGCGCAGCAGAAAAAAGCTCTTCTAATGTACAACAGGGGTATTGTTGGAAGGCTTCGACTCCCATGGGAATGTATATTTCAAGAAAGGAAAACACCACCGACCACCATCTGCCACCGTCTATGCCAGAGCAGCAATGAACATGACACCGATCAGACCGGTAAGACCAACCGACATTCTGTCTGCGCCGTTGCTGAGACCAGGCGTGAAAACGACCTCGGAGGGCGCGGTCAGTGTCGCCGATCCTGTTGCCGTGCCGGAAGCCCTTTCACCAGCTGGCGGCGACCACGTAGCAATAGCAGTGACCGATGCAGCTGTAGAACTTCCCGTGGGACTGGGAATGCGACGCGACGAGAAGAATGAACTGGCGCTAGAAGAGCCACCTAAAGCAGCAGCGCCGGATGAGGCTGGCACGGGGATTGTGGAAGGTGCAGCAGATGCAGAGGCAACAGAGCCATGCTGTTCAGAGTCGCCTGGGACAATGTCAGAGTCATCGACGGATCCTGTGCTGACAGCTTGGGAGATGGGTTTCGGAGCTGTTGTAGGGATTTCAGAAAGAGCGCCTGCGGTCAGCCGAGATGCGACAGCCTCAGAATTGGTAACAGTAGAGGTAGCCGCGGCTGAATTTGCGATGGCGTCAGCGGCGGGGTGTTCACTTGCGGCAGCAGCAGGAGTAGCAGCGATGGAAGTTCCAACGACCCCAGCGCCAGAATTCTCGGTAGAGGCACCGTTCTGCTTGCCATCCAGGGCAGCCGCTGATGAACTTTCCGCGACAGGGCAGATAGTGGTAGTCGATGTGACGTAGACGGTGCTTGTTGACTCTAACTCCGAATCACCGCCCTCAGCGGCAGACGCAGTGGGGGCAGCGGCGGCAGGTGTAACAGCGGGAACAGTCCTGGACTCGGCAGCGGAGTTTCCTTCCTCAACTGTGTTGGTCTGAGCTGGCTGGGGAACAGCGGTTGTCTCGGCGGGGACGGAAACGGTAGGCGTCGCGGTATTGGCAGCTTGGACCGAGACCATGGTGCCTTCGACCTTGGAGGTCGTGGCTTGAGAGACAGCGGCGGACGAAGCAGCGCTGACGCCATACTGGTAGACCTTGATGGAGTTGATCTCCCAGTAAGCCTCCTTGAAAGCAGCGGGATTCTGAGCGACGTAGTTGACACAGCTCTGCATGGGGCTGCTGGAATCGCTCATAGGACAGCCAGATTCGCCAAAAACATTACCGGCCCAGTCACCGCAAAAGGTCGTGTCAATGATGAACTTTTGCGCCTTGAAGCGCTCCGCAAAGTCGCAGGAGCCCTGCAGGTGCGCCATAGGGGTTCCGAACGAGGAGGTATCGGGGTTTCCGCTGGAAAGAGAGGCGGGGATTTGGCTGCGAGCGAAGAACCAGATCTTGATAAAGGCGTCAGTCCACTCCATAGCATACACACCACCGCCCGCCTCATTGAAAGGATCGCCAGAGCTGCCATTGGTCCCCTTGACAACACATCCAATCGTGCCGGAAGCCTCGCCACACTGCGAGGAAGAGAGGGTGCCAGTCATGTCGTTGCTGCCCGAGACATCGCAAGTGCCACTGGTGTGGAGGACGATTTCGTTTGCCTTTTGCAGGTTGACACCCTCGATGATATCAATCTCGCCGTCGTTGGGCCAGTCCTTACCGACGGACCAGAAGGCGGGCCATGTGCCGCAAATGCTGCCAGGCATGTGCTCGATATCGATGACATACAGTCCCTCCGTGTAGTACTGTTTCGATTCGATCCGTACCGACTCACGGCCGGGGCCGTTGGGGTTCAAGGTGTTCTCGTAGTCGACACCCATATAGAAGCTACCACTCGAAGTGACTTTGACCAACCCAGATTGTTCAGCGACGCTCTGATTGACGTATGTGACATACCCCTTAGTAGGGTCGGCTCCGTGGAAGAAATTCCAGTCGTTGATGAAGCTTTCGCCCTGCCAGGACTCCGTAAGCTGATACGTCTGCGGCTGGCGGGCCTCCAGGGCTGTGGCTGCGACCAAAGACGAAGCAATGAGCGATCCTACACTCAATAAGAGCGACGAGGGAGCCATGATGGGCTCTTGAATAGTCAACAAAGGCTTGTAAGGAACGATGGAGCCTCAAGCTCGAGATTTTGAGAGGAGCGATGGAGAAGATCTAGGAACACAACAGAAGAAGATTCCAGCTGATCGCTACTCAGACGAAGAATAGAAGACAAATTGATTGCAAAGAATGGATATGACACCGTCCAGGGTGTACTCTAGCAATGGATGGTAAGAAAGGAAGGTGGGCAGAATCGATCTGCGATGATGAATTGAAGAATGAGAGAATGTAAAGGCCTGAGATGGGCCAGCTTAAAAGAAGGAAATAACGAAAGGAAATGTTTCAAGATGAAGAAAAGATCAAGTATGTGAGACCATGGCAACAAAGGCAAACGGGAGATGCCAATAATATAGCAACGAAGGCAGGAATGCTCGACCCATTTAGCCGCGCCTGGTCTGTGCTTGCCATTGCCTGCACACAATAATGCCAATTTTATTATTGTCACCATGGTCAACGAGCTGGCGCCCCATTATTGCCATGGTCTAATCCCAAAGCGCCATCGACATGCCAATGCAGGTTCGGGATTGGAGGTTCCTCTGCTAGTTTGTTGTCAAGACCAGACCCGGAAGGCCGAAACGAACCGTCAAGAAATCACTGCCTTGGGGAGATGGGCATAAGGTACGTCGTACGGAGTAAAGAGTGACGAATGCTGGCTGCTCTGCTCAGCATGGCATTCGTCGAGACTCAAGGTCTTTCACATTTTTCCCAATCTCTAGAGTATGCAGAAGTGGGCAGCGGTAAGTCACGGCATTGGTGTGGTGGACATGTGGTCAGCAAATCTGAAACAGGTGCAGCCTCCAATAAGCATGGAGAAGTAGGTAGTTGAAACAGGAGAGGTCTTTTTTTGTCCACAGAAAAGGACGGTTGTTTCGAGGTGTTGTGGTGAAACATCAAAGGGGAAAAAATAACAGCGGCTCGCAATTATCAATCACCATTGTCCTTTTTCGTCATGATTCAAGTGTGCACTGATTGCCTTTGTCCATAAGATTGAATATGCTTTCAACTTTTCTCAACCTTGGTGGTAACAGACAGAGGCAATATAACCACAGTCCACATTCTGGACATCTCAGCATGACTCGTGGGTCCTTGGAGGATGACATGCTCACTGTCGGACAGACAACTTTGCCGACATTGCCATGAATCAGCAATTGATACACCTGGCGAATGGCAATTGAGAATATCTCTCGCCAGGAGTCCCGAACGGGCATCACAACCAATCAATGACTTGTCTGACATGCTGAGTCTAGACTCTTTAGTGGAGCGACCGACCGTGACGCCGTCCGTCTTGGGGTGGATATACGCGAAGCTGTCCATCTCACTGGGGAGACGGCCGACATGTGAAAAAGGCCGGCAATTGGCATTTTCATTCAATGAGATGGCGGCAGTGAAATGTGACGGATCTCGGAGTCAAAATTCCTGTGGATGATCGAAGAACGACCATCCAATGAGGTGTTAGTGATTCGCGCAGCGGCAGGACGAGCGACCATCTCATCAAACTGAGGAATTTGGCGACGAGTATAAACATCACGTGATACCGCTCTGACAAGCGACAACAGTTGACTCGAATGACTGTCCAGATATGAAATTTTTGTCCTGAGAGGAAATCCAGTATCCTGACGTTATACCACATAATTTGAGTATCGTGTTTAATGACTAGTTGGTCTTGAAATGATTTTACACTACAGTGGGTGCCTCTAGTCCCATGTTGACGCCTTCCCACCAGATATATCCATCCCAATACCTCTCCACTCATCTTGAAAATTGATCTGATTGGCAAAACAGCCATGTGGATAACATTAGTCTCAAGTTCATGGAATCTTTGTAGAATCCAGCTCTCTGTTACGGCAGTAAAATTGCCACATATTCTGTGACATACCGCAATGTTTTTGGACCTTCGTGGATTCTTATGCCAGATCATGGCAGCCACCCAATCCTTTTGCAGCGCCCTAACTAGACGATGGGCTGGAAATGTAGTTCCATCATCCATTCCTTATGGACACATAGCTACATGAAGGGCTGCTTCCACATCTTTACGACGGAAGCCCGGCGTCCGACCAAGGCAGACACCCTTCTTCAACAGTTCTATCGTTTGTCAGTAGTATGACAATGCTGGAAGCAGGAATAGATGCTGACCTTGAATTAAACGTGCCGCGTTCACAACCTTTCGGTCATAACTGGAATTGTTTGTATCGCCCACAACAAATGCCACTTCATTTTCCAGGAGAAATCCCTCTAGATCCTGTATATCAAACCACTCACCGTCAAGCTCATGCTGGACCTCTTGTGGTAGCTCTGATGTGGGATCTTGGATGTTCTCCCATCGTGGTAGAGTTTCAGTTGAGCTTCCCTTCGTCTTGCGAGGATAATGGGTACCAGCGCCACCGATTTTGAAGTAGGGTATCTCTTTCCACTCATCCAGGCGCTTCCGGCTGGCTTTTGCATGCAAGCAGGCTTCAAAGTAAGAGGTTAGGCGTTTCCTATCCATCAAGCGAAGGAGGAATCGGAAAGGTCTCTGCAAAATGTCCATGCTAATAGAGGCATCGCTGAGGGCTGAGTACCCTTCATAGAGACATGCAAAATGAAGCCGCTCGATAAACGCGCTCAGCTCCAGGGAAGGTGCCTCGGGGACATACTGATCTTCTGCCCTTCCTCTGAAGCCAGCAGCGTATAGTGTCCCCAAATCTTCGCTTTCTGTAGATTCTTTATAAGGAGGCGATGTTGCGAGAGAAGTCTGCCTGCGCTGGGGCTCCTTTTCCTCTGAAGATGAGTGGCTTCCTTCGCTGGGTGATGATAAGTTTGTAGCCACATTTTGATCGCCTGTCATGTTGGCTGCTTTCGCTAAAGATAGGCAAAGCTGTACTGTGTCCCGTAAACGGCCGGTCAACCGAGGATCGGATGCCAACACCTCGGATTCGATCAGCTCATCGCTAAATGACAAAAAAGCTGTGCTGATCTTCTCCACTGCAGCCTCAAGCTTAAGTACACGGCTTTGGAGGGAAGAAACGCTGGCTTCCTTGCGGGAACGATAGGCCCGTTGTGCTAGTCGAATTTGCATTCGACGTCGCTGCCCGGTCAGTTTGATAAGCAGAATGCTAACCAGCGCTGGCTAAGATGAGTGTTGACGCACCTCATGAGGATCTTCTCCTTCGTCGGCTGACTTGCGAGGTCGCCCTCTTTTTCTTGAGAGCGAGCCATCCGTGGAATCGATATCTGTTCTCGTTCGTTTCGAGGACTTAGGTTTCGACGCTTCGGGCTGCTGATCCCCACAAGGCGAATCTTCCAGATAAAAGCCGCCGTAAAGTTGCGTTCGAGGTTGAGGTGTCGTTGTTTGCGGACTAATAGAGCGTTCTGGGAATAAGTATGAGGATGCAGACAGAAGCGAAGTGATTTTGTTAGCACCCAGGAGATCCGGTACAGTTGATCGACTGCGGCTGGATAGTACTAGATTTTGATGGACCTCCTCCCAGCTCAGTAAGGGAATCTCCTGTTCAGACATCCTAGATCTCGTCTTCAACATAAATCTTTCAGGTTGAGATATGAGCTACGGAACGATGACATGAGCTCAATAGAACTGCAGTAGAAGTCAGTCATGCAACGAAGCTAACTGATGGAAAGTGATCAGTATATATCTTTCTCTAATTTGCCATGATAAAGTCTAATAATCTCATCAGCTGGATGATCCCCCATTAGGAAGTGGCTTGATTGGTTTGTTGTCGTATGGAGCCTCGGCTCGATCACTAATCACAAAAGACACTACTAAAGTGCAACGGATGGGCTTTGATTTAAACCAATTGAATTAACGCGCGTTTGATTGATGGAAGGGCCAACCACAGCTTTCCACAGTGTTGTCTGCGATCTCCTCAGATGAATGGTCGAATGTGGCATCGATATAGTTTCATGTGCCGAAACCGAGTCTCATGGAGCTTTTTTTGCCACCAGGTCATATGTGAGGAGCTCCAGCAAATCCTGCGGTGATATGATACCTCTCGAAGGTTGTTCACTGAGGTGGTTCAAGCATCCAGTCTCTGTGAGTAAGGTGGGGCACCACAACGCTAAGACAAGCAAAGCAATCATCATCGCAAGTGCGTAGATGTCTATCGACACTTCGCACCTCAAGGCTGAACACGATCTACTCTGGTTGCTATCGACATGGTCATTATAGCTGTCGCCGGTGGAACCGGGGGAGTGGGTAAAACAATTGTCGAAAGCTTGGTGAGACAATCCCAGCACCAGGTCATAGTGTTGACTCGCAGCGTAAGTCCCACGGCAGCTTATTTTGGATGGGTTGATCGCGGTCTCATCGTGTAATCCAGGAACCTAGAACAGATCTTGTTTCGGATAGGACTCGACAAGTGCAGGTGGACTACAATGATATCCCCTCTCTTGTCCAGGTTCTGGAGCAGCATGCTATCCATACCATCATATCCGCAATTGGAATCTTCGATGCCACAACCAGTCAATCTCAGTTAAACCTCATCCAGGCTGCAGAGATATCCAACGTCACAAAAAGATTCGTTCCGAGCGAATACTCTTTTATTCAAACCAAGGAGTATTTTCCCTCGTGCTGATGTATTGTTGTTATTTTTGCTAATTGACGTGACCAGTCTCCTCCCCGTTGACCCCAGCATTCAACATTGGCTCGATGCCGCTGAGCTCCTCCAGAAAAGCCACCTTCAGTATACGCGGGTCATACCCGGCTTCTTCATGGACTACTGGGGCATGCCTGTGGTGCGCACGAATCTCACGCCCTGCACCTTTGGCATTAACATCCAGCACTGTCAGGCTGCCATCCCGGGCGACGGAAATGACGTGATGTGCATGACATATACATACGATATGGCAGCATTTGTGCTCAGATTATTGGATGTTGAGGACTGGCCTGAATTCAGCATTATTGTTGGCGACGAGGTCACGTACAATCAGCTTCTGGAGATGGCCGAGGAGATTCGAGGTCAGTGATTCTATCTATTATCCCCTGTTGCCTAAACTGAACCGATATAGGCCAGAAATTCCAGGTCACTTATGACAGTAAAGAAAGTATCAAGGACGGTCGGGTTACTATTCCTCCAATGCCCGAAGGAAATCCCTACCCCCCAGAGGATCTGCAAGAGATGACCGCCTTGGTGAGCCGACTGACGATAGCTGGTGTTTTCAAGCTACCAGATCAAAATCGACTGAACGACAGATTCCCTGACCTCCAACCAGTGAAGATGAGGCAATTCCTACAAGATGCGTGGAGAAACTACAAAGGAGTCAAATAGTATTCGCAAACATTTGAATTAATATACAAGTGTCATCGGTTGCATACATCGCAACATTTCGTGATAGCGCTCAACTCCGGCACGGCCGCACAGCATTAAGACACGCGCCTTGTACCGGAGACACCAGAGTCTCCATATCTCACAGCATCAGGAAGATCGTCTTCTCCGGGGCCCTCATTGTACTTGTTGGCAGTCTGGGGCTTTGCGTGACGCAGCCGATCACCGCGCAAAATGTTGCTCTTATCAATGGCCTCCCTCTCGTCGTCGGCTGGCGGGGGAACGCTTGGTCAGTCACTCAGAACCAACATGGTTCCCGAAGCAGAGTACGTACCAAGCTGCTCGTCCGTGTTCGAGTAGGGAGGCTGCATGGGATCCTCGTAGGGGGCCTGGTCGGGCTGAACGGGGACCTGGTTGCGGAGCTCAGGACGTGTCTCGCCGGTGTAGGAGTTGTCGATAACGTCGGCTGAGACGGGCGAGGCGTCGTTCTCGGCCTCGTAGCTGTCCTCAGCTTCTCTTTCGGCACGGTTGGACATCTTGACTATAGTCTATCGTAGAACGGTTGCGGTAGAGACGTTGCAGTAGAACAAGATTGTAGGTGTGGTGGCAGAGTGGTTGGATTGCTGGTGATGCACCGATGACAATGCTCGGGATACCGTGGGTATATATGTGTTTCCAGAGTTCCGCGAGTCCCAGCATCGCCATCCTGACATCAAGGTGTTGTCAAGGGGTTGTAATGGTGGGCGTTGAGTTTCCGATTGAGTTCTGAGGCGCCAGTTGGGTACCTCCACCGAGGCCTACGGCCAACTACCTCAAGCTTTCAGATTCAAAGCTTAATCCAGTGGAGATCTACAGACAAACTGCGAGTACATTGTTCATCTTAGGCCACTTGGCTACCAGATCGGTGCGATATTCAACACCTGGTCTTCAACATTGGTCGTACCTGTACGGAGACACAATCAAACAACTAGCAAAGCGCATACCATATCATACGACGCGTATGCGTCTGAGATCATCATCAATCGGATCGATCAATGATCGATCAATCCCGATTTCCATACCCCTGCTTATAACGGACACAACCAGACAAGCAACACCCATCTCCAGTTCAAGGTGGCGATATGACGCATCTCTAACACCGACCCGGACTCGCTCCCCGGCCAGGCCTCACCTAACACATAATAATCTTCAATAACCACTTCTCCGGGAGGAGGTATCCACACTAAAATTTGTTTAGTGCCTGAGCGTGCCAGTTGTAGTGTTTCGATGCCGCAGTTGATTATCAATATCAATCTCGTCGGTCCATCATCACCATCTCCACCAAAATCAACCAATCAGAGACAACTTCAACAATGTCATATTCAAGGGAAAACAACGAAGTCTCCGCTTCTGGGGAGGATAGGGTGAATGCTATGCGCGGCTACAAGGCGTGAGTTAGAATTCTGTCGCCGTCAACCGTTGTATATGGATAATCTGATGCGGGACCAGTACGCTCAAGAATCCCCGCACCTCGGACGAAGCAAAGCAGCACGCCAAGGATGTGCTAGATAATGAGCTCCATGGGGACCAGCCGCGGCATGATCTGTATGCTATTCGACAGCAGAATAAAGAGCCGAACCGAGTTGCCGGTGGGCTGAAGGCGTAAGTATTCAGGACGGGAAAAGGAGAGGGTTGGCTCATGTGGTGTTTAGTGCGCAGAGGAATCCGCGCGTGAAGCCGAGAGGAAAAGAGAGCGCCGCGGAGAAATTGGATGCCTTGGGACGGGCGAGGGATGAGCAGGCACAGCAGGATCAGTCGCAGGCGCAGCCGGAGGAGTAGATGTTGTAGATGTTGTATTTTTACTAGATTGCGATGTATAGACTTTAATAGAGTTGCGTTGGTACTAGATTGTAAGCTTGAGGTCCTAAGGCTCCATAACGAGCAGTGATTCTGATTCTATGTCTATTTATCTATCTTCAGATGATGGATTGGGATTGATCACATCATCAGGCCATTTACGAAACATATCGGCTAGATGGTCAATTGGTGCAGCCAGCAGCCCGACCACCGTCTCGAAAGGAGGTTTATTCGGGGTGTTGGGATGCGACCGGGTGGGAACGAACATCTTGGTTCGGCCGAACGACTTGGACAGCCTCTCACTCTCCTTGGGGGTGATTGCGCTCTCCAACTTGACAAAGTCAGTGGTTTCCTCTTCGTCGATGTGTTTGGCCAGGTCCGCCATCATAGACTTGAGCGTCGGCATGAACGCTGGATCGGAGGGATGCATGTCCTGGAACTTTTGAAGCTTTTCCTTGATCTGTACAGCAATCAGTGTCATGACAGAAGATAGACTAGCAGATTGTGCTAGTACCGTCTGATGTTCGTCACGGTCCTTATCGGCCGTCTCAGTGCCATCTCGGAGATATTTCTCCAGGGCAGGATACACGACCAGCTCTTCACCTATCGCATGGCGGGCGAGTTCCCAGGTGAACTTGTTCTGGAAGCGGATTTGCTCATCGGGATCTCCAGAGCTCACGATGATGTTGTAGTATTCTTCAAGCTCTCGGTGGTCCTTTTTGATCGCATCCATAAGATGGCCCATGTTGATTGTTTAGCATTAACGATTGCTCAGGTACACTGGCATGCATAGTGACATTCCGTATTCAGGAATAGAACTGCATTAAAACACCCTCGATGAAAATGCCCTCAATCGCGACCATGGGATTATGGCACAGTGTAAACATCACGACACCAACAACTGAGCATCAATGCGTAGGACATCCATTGCCTGGTAGTCACAAAGTTGTTGATAGTACCTTCTTGATCCCGGTTCCCATCGCAGACAGTGTTTGCTTGGCCCCTGGTCCAAATCACGATCATGGAATACTGGTCATTGGGCAGTAAGCTGTGACGGTACTAAGGTACCTATGACAGCGAGTCGGGCTCCACATGTGATTGGAGGCATTGAAGCAAGGGAAATGCCCGGATCGACGGAAGAGTGGCGCTTTTGGGCGCTGTCATGGTTATACAGACAGGAAAACTCCAGCGAATTGGGCCCTGAGGCTCTCTGCTTGGTTGTAATCCCAGAACGACCACAAAGTGTGACGATCCTGGGACTGACAGAGCCATGAAGAGCTTTGGTGTGCATATTGGCTTACAGCGAAGGGTTGACAGTCTGGGCGCAGGTACACGGACACCCCGCCATCCCATTCATGGAAGGATTGGCGACAATCCTGATCCGGACCGCTTATGGGAACAATCTTGGCCAACCGGGGCTTTAGCCGACACATCATCCCAAGAGTCTAGAATGGATCGATGACTGATTGATGGCTGTTGTTCTCCGCTCGCTTTCTTTCAGTCTAGATTACATAAGGCTAATAGGCTCTGAAAGAGTCAATCAAAGTCACATCTTGGCCTTTGTCGCGTCCTTGGAACGGAGCAATGATGGATGACTGCCTGACGTAATTCGGATGTATGACCCGCCCATCATTCGACGTTCCTTGAGTGCGACGTGTTGGCGGTAAGAACCAGTGCCTGACAGAGCACAGTCTCTATTTGGCTATTGCTGTGGGTAGTAATGCATGAGTTATTCGTGTTGCTTTCTCTATTGTTTGTGCGTTGGCATTCCGATCGCAGTGGGGGTGTCCAAATTGTCCCGTCCAGCCTCATTGGTATGGACGCCCAGGGCACCTACGATATTCGGCTCTATTTCCCCGCGCTCTCTGGGGCTGAAAATTATATCCAGATGATAGTTCCTGTTCTTGACAGGGGTCTTTTGTATCTCACCTGAATTTCAAAGTCGTCCGAGTTGTGGTCTTGTGCCTTGAGTTGAGCCCTCGCGTGACGGATCACATTCACGTCTCTCATTGTCACATTTGGCGCATTTGCAGCTGCTGCCTGTTGGATCGATAGCAAAAGAGTCGATCTAAATATCTGAGCGCCGCTGATCTTTCGACATGGCGACTACATATGCATATGAAAGGTGAGTCGAGAATCCTTAAAACCCCGTCCTCGTGTTCCCCAGGACCTCAGCTAAATGTTATATTCTGTTTCCCAGATTCCCGTTTCACGAACCCGGATCAGGACCAGACTCCCATCTGACAACAGCACCTGAGAGCTTGGTGGTCGGAAACTCTACAGAATACGAACCACACCACCATAACGGTCTACGAAGGCCCAGCATGGGGAAATGCCTCTTACAATGGTTCTGGTCGACACTGATGATCGACGGCTCAAGCACACAGGAGAGCCAGGCTAAGCCCTCGAATCTTCGACAAGCTCGAAAGGGTAGCACATTCACTACACAAACGACCTCTACGGCTGATGGGAGTGGACTGCAGCAGCAGTCGTCTCATGATAATAATACGGACGAGGAGAATCCCGCGTGTAAAGCCTGTCGAACATGGGGGGTAGCTTGTGACAGGCAGCAACCACGATGCTCGCACTGTCTTGATCAACAAATCTTATGCTTCTACGTGGCACCGTTACGAAAGACGATGAAGAAATCGAGCCGGTCTCGAGCTTTGCAACAAGGAACAGGAACGTCAATGCAGTTGCAGCAGCAAAGTTGCTGCTGAAAGGGATGATACAGCCAGTTCAACACGTGAATTGACAATTTAGATAGGGAATTACTCTCTTTTTGTCACTGGCGATGCGTAGCGTGCCACAGCGATCATTTTGAAGTCCCCCAGTCCCCTGATTAGATAAAGTTATCGCAAGGGAGTATCTCCTCCGCACAAAGCGGGGGAATACACCTGGATCCTGGTACATGCATGCAGCGGCGATTGGACTTATCTCCAGATATCCACGATTTCTTTCAGAAAATGGCGCTATCGGTGTTCCTGAGCAAAATGATGATCAGCAAGAAGACAGTTTCCGTTTATATGCGAGCCTGTTCTTATCTCCACTTTCACGGAGCAGCATGCCCCGAGACCATTTGCCACGAGCCCACGACACCCCCTCAGACCACAAAGTACATGAAGCCTTTTGTCGCAGTCCGCCTCGCATCTTTTGCATCAACTCGGATTACTACCGAAAGGGAAAGGTCACTACATGTTGCTGTCGGAGCACTGTGAGCCGTCTCCGCTCTACAGGCTCGGACACGGGGTGTTGAAATATGTACCTACAGTGAAAATGATATGAAACTTCACTCTCAGACTCTACAATTGATTCCTGTAGCATGCTGTGATTTTATTCTGTGGATGCCTCCTCATACACACCAGCGTCGCTCAGGGACCCTACCACAAATACAAGGTAAGCCCTGCCATTTCCTCTACCTCTGCCGGAAACTAATCGGGCATAGATGGAAGTCGAATACACTCGTCTCGCAGAGACAATACGCCAGAAAGCCAATGCCCATAGCAAGAATCGCTTCCTAGTCGCCATCGCCGGCATCCCGGGATCCGGCAAAACAACCACCGCGGCCGCCGTTGCCAGGCGTCTAAACGCGCAAGCGTCAGCAAAACGCGCTACTCTGCTCTCCATGGACGGGTTCCATCTGTCGCGGGCGACGCTGGACCTCTTACCAAATCGAGAAGAAGCGTATATCCGCCGCGGGGCTCCTTGGACCTTTGACACGGCCCGCTTCGTCCAGTTCGTCCGTCGGCTACGGAATTGGGCTGATTCGACGCCCCGCACCTTTGCAGCAGAGACTATCTACGCACCTTCGTTCGACCACGAGGCTAAAGACCCGGTCGAGAATGGCATTGCTATCACTGATGACGCGGAGATCGTGATCATTGAGGGGAATTATTTACTGCTTGACGAGCCTGAATGGCGGGAGGTAGCTGCGCTGGTCGACTACCGGGTGTTCGTCGAGAGTGATCTGCAGGAAGCGCGAGAACGAGTCGCGCGACGGCATGTCCTGGCGGGGATTGAGACGACGTTGGAGGATGGATTTCGGAGAGTGGACAGCAACGATTATTTGAATGCGGTTACCATTCGGGAGAAGCTGATCGCTCCTGATATGGTTGTTCACAGTGTGACTGAGCCAAGTTGTTGATACTCATACAAATGCAGATTTGGATATAATACATCTGAACCCTCATTATACCTTACATCATGGTCTACTCCTTGATCTTCTGCTTATGAAACACATCTATAGCCATCAGCTATTGTCCATATCTCTGCAAAGAAGAACAACTTACTCGGAATCTCAGGCATCCAGCTCGCCCTCGAACTACAGAAAAACTCCCCCTTGGGCGGCAACGCCTCCGGATCATCTAGAGTCCCAACGCAGATATACCGGGCCTGGTCCTTGACCGCATCCTGTCCTTCTTAGCATCTATACACGGCTTCGAATGCTGCCAGACCGACTCACCCCATATTCAAGAATGAAACTTCCACAATTATCGCAGAATTCCCGGTGCAGCAACGACCCGGACCCGTTATCGCCGACATGCTCCTTGGGTTTCCCAGCGGTCAGTTTGAAGGCATCCTTGGGGATCTTGGCGGTTAGGCCGTAGTTTGTTCCGAATGCTTTCTGAGGAATTCATTAGCTTGCGCATTGCGAGCAGGGCAGAGGTGAAACTGAACTGACTTTACAGTTTGAACAGTGGCAGAGGGAGGTTCGTGCATCGTCTGGGGAGTCAAGCGTTATTTCATATTTGATGTTGCGGCAGTAGCAGGATCCCGTGTATTGGGGCATGGTTCGTGATGTTGTAGTTGAGATGGCTTGGTAGGTTTTGCGAGGAGTGTATTTGGCTTTGGGAATCTTGGAGAGATGGCGATTTACAAGGCAGAGGCGGTTCATACGGTTGTCTTTGTTTGCCAATTGCTGATATCCAAAAAGATGATGCTATACAAAGTGGCTTTGAGAGCTTGATATATAGTTACTGGGG